AGGAGTGAGGATTGTGGATTTTCCTTTGCCTCCAGCCAAGTTGGTCAACAACTTGTTCAGTCTGCCGACCATCTTACTGGAATCCTTGATGAGCCTGTGGCTACAAGCAATCTCGGAAACCTCAAAAGTTCCCCGAGTGTTCGTCATTGATCTTTAAGATGTTGTGAAGAGAGGCATTCTTTCTGCTTGCCTAAACAGCGACCTTGGGTATTTGAAGAAGTAGGTCTGACAAGATTACCTCAGTAGCTCGGATCACATTAAGAAGTTCAGGTGGCCTTAGTTCTCCACATTTACTCTTCTCGGAAGTAACAGAAACGTTGGAGATTAATTATTGAACCAAAAGCCAGGATATCCGCTGAAGAAAAGAGTGAAGACGAGAAAACAAAATTCTGATTCCGAGACATTCAATTCCAGTAGAGTCAAGTACAAGGTAAATAGCCTCCTGGATTTCAAGTTAATTCGGAGATTAAAAATTTTTATTTTCAGTTTATATTGGACTTGAAAGGAATGTTAATCGGACCTTTATGTCGTCCATTTTTAATAAATCGCACCTGAATAGTAATGATATCATTTTTAAGCGAAGCAAAACTGCTATTTGAGGATCAAAATATCTTCTAATTAGAGTATAAAACAGAAGATTAAAATACTAAAATATAAAAAATGGAAAAAGTGACTTTCAACCTTTCTTAGGCGAATGTTGTTCTAAATTATCCAAAAGAGGTAAGAAGTTCCTAGAGAAATCAACACTGTTCTGGTTCATCATTTCTGTGACAGTCACATGGAAGAGTGCAGAGCTCTGGAAAGGAATTGAGTTTATCCTCTCCTCTGATAGATAACAAATGTACTTGGAGAGATTCAGAGACTCCTAAAGACATCTGACTCGTCGTCTTCGATGGCGTTACGGACACATCTCCACCAAATAGATCATATTCCGAGGGATTATGATATCTAGACAGTGTTGAGATATTTGAAGCATATTTCGATGAAACAGACTCTTTATGCTTATCATCCAATGTAGAGAAACGACTAGGTGACATGGACATATCTCCGAAAAGCTCGGTTTCCTTCCTTCGTCTAGATAGCCAGTATAATCAGAGGAAGTGAATCAATAGAATACCTTTCGTCTTCACTCATATTTGCCCTTGTAATGTTCGGAGATGTGAAACTGACAGGATGTGCTTTTTCCGGCGATTTCAAACCCATTAACACGGAATAATTACACGAATCAGGCTCAGAGACCTGAAAACAAGAAGAAAATTCTTCAAAAACTATTTTGAACCAACATGAGAGAAATCAGTTGGACCACAGTATGCGCTATTCTTCTTTTGTGCTTCGGTTGCTATTCGGTACTTGTAAGCACTTGCGTAAGAGACTGAAAAATAATTTTAACATTAAAACTACCGAAATACTACAACCTCCTTTAGCTTTGTCTTTATTCAATTGCATCAGATTTCTTCTGGCAGGTAACGCAGGTGGAGGATCCTTAGCCACATGAGAAACAAATGATGTTATTCTTGATTGAGAGAAAGGTGTACTACTCTTAACTCCCCCTATCTTCCGACCCTGCAAACACAATGATCCTCATCATAGAACTCTATCGAACTGTAAGAAATGGTTACTTGACTCACCCTCTTTCCGGAAAGGGACTGTAGTTGTTTCTCAAACGCCTCGTTCTCTTCCGCCACAATCACGCTTTCGACTACAGTAGGTACAGCAGTGGATGTGGTGAACTAGGTACACGTGAAATTAAAATTGTAACAAACCAACTAGAAACCTCATCTCTACTGGACGATGGAGTAGTTTCCTCCGCTGTCGCACTTTTGCAATTTATACATCGTGTTATCCTGACCTTACTCATGTCGTCCCTATAACAACAGTCGAAGAGAAGCTACTATCATCAACATACTCATCAATAGAATCACCAGCAGCTCGCTTCCGACTGTCTTCTTCTTTGCCTACACAAACAGTATCGCCATAATCTCTTCCTAGAAGTGATGACAGGATTTGCCAAGGATCAGGAGCCCTTTGAGGGACAGATATAGTGTAAGTAAAACATAGTTCTTTCGTCATTCCGCACTAAAATGAAAATATCTCTGTTCTATTGAATATCAGACGGACCAAGCAGTAAAGCTCTATGATTGAAGATTCTATCGTGTTGTCTTTTGTTAGTCCCTGTATAACAACATCAGAATTTATGGAAAAGGGATTAGATACGAGAATAGAGTATGGAGAAGCTGTAAGATTCGTTCTATCGAAGGCAGATATCTGAACTAACCTCCGCTTTCTTTTGCACTGTTTGTGTCATCGATCTCTCTTCGTAATCTGTTGAGAGAAACTGTTGTTGTTTCCGGAGGACCTACTTCAAGAACTATTTTTCCCAATTCCATCCCATCCGAAGGTAAAAGTGTTATCTCCATAGGAGAAGACTCGTACGGATTCTGGAACAAGCTTTTTCTTCGCTAGCCGAGTAGTCAAATTGCTTACCCCGTTCGCACTTCCCCATTTGTCTTGTAAGTAATCAAAAAGCCTAGATAAGCGTTCATTACTGTTTAGTCGTAGTTTCAGAAACGGGTTCTTCTCTTTCTCAATCTATTCAAATGATTCAGTTCAGGCTCCGAGATAGAAAACTTACTAGAAAAGAAGCTTCTGAGTATGTTTTAGGTCTCAGTTTTATAATTACATCATTGGGAAACTTCTCCCGGTCAAACCTTCGGTTATCTTCAAAAGGAGCATGTAGTAGAATCAAGCATGGTTATACTTACGTATAAAAAACTTATTTAAAGCGGGGCACAGAGGAGTTTTTATGACCAAAGACTTTTTTTTTGAGCGTATAGTTGTAACTCTGAAAGAGGGATAAGCAGCGTCAGTGTCTGTCAGACTCACCCATCTAGAATCAGCTCCTTCAAGCGGTCGGCTTGGTATTTAGAAGTTCCAGTCCTTTTCCTCCACTCACAGGCATTTATTACTAAAAACAACTCCTTGGCATCTCTACAGACTCCAGTGAATTGAGCTGAAAGCAGAACCTAAGCTACGTAGCTAGAAGATAACTCACAATCCACATCCAAATCAGCAAACGTACGAATGAACTTAATGGAATTGAAATAGAAGTTCTTGATTTGATCTTTACATTTGTGCACTTTCCGTTTTGCCACCCACTTCGTTATATTATCAAAATCTTTTCCTAACTGAAACAAACTGATAGATATTATGAGAATTCATTTCAAACCTGTTTAACAGCTTCATAGTAAATCATGATCTCATCATGGCTCCACATCTTCCCTTTTTTAAGCGGAACTTTAGCTGATGATGTGTCTTCTGATGAAATTAATGACATAATCGGAGCTGGGACAATTGGATCACTCTGAACATTACAATTTTGGCCGATTGCTAAAAAAAATTATTACTGTAGTCGTATTAACAGTGTCTGTGCCAAGTTTCGTTGGAGCTGTTGGAGGTCTGAAAGCCATTCTTCTTCGGGAAACCCCCGACGTAGTCTGCTAACTATATGGTATACAACAAATAATTGAAAAGTAACCTCGTTTACTGGACCACCAACATCCCGGTTCAACCCAATCTTTGAGTCGTCGTTTGACATGTCCTGCAATATGGTGAAACAGGGATACGGAGAGAGATTTCGATAATAACAATGGCAAAACCATGCTGGAGAGAATAGTATTGTAACAGCTCAAGTTTTATATAACTATCATATCACATAATACTTCAATAAGGTGGTAAACCAAAAGATTCGGGCAAGAACTCTTCCAGAGAGTTCAAAATCAAGTCAACTCGTTTCTTGAAATCGTTATCGGGTACAAAGACTTGTGGATCTGGAACCATCACACACTGCATATTAGCAGCTAAAGCCGCCTCGACACCGTTCGGTGCGTCTTCGAATACTAAAACATTCTTACTAGATTCAGGTGCTTTTTCGAATCTGAAGGACATAATTGATGCAAGAACGGGGTAGCTGATTACTTTGACATCGTGTACAGGAACCCATCAGGTGCGGGCTTTCCTTTTTTCACGTTTGGATCATCTCCGGTTAACACCTAAAAAGGCATTTCTTATAATATTCAAGATCAGTTATATTACTTGAATCGGCACGAGGTCTACCCAATCTCTATGCTTCGCAGCTTTCAACGCGAACGTTCTGCTACAGGATCCTGTGCATATAGCGGTTTCAATTCCTGAAGGTGGCTCATCATTAAAATAGTTATATTGTCAATCGTATACCATGTTTGGTGAGATGTTCGACCAACTTTTGCGCTGATGGTAAAGCTTTCGCATTGGGATAATTAGACTCAAGAATTTGATCGTATTCTTTAGCGTACTCTTCAGCAGTTACTACATCATTCAAATTCATCTCAAGAGAACGAAAAATAGTTTTACTGAATAAGAGTTCTAACCAACCTCATCCAAAAGGAACTGAATGGCTTCCATGTGTTTCATCCCCATTTGTTCTCAAAAAAGAGTTGTGATATGGAATGATAGAAGAATAAACTTCTTTTAAGTTCCATGGTAAAACTTTTTCCGAACTTTTTGAGCATTATGTCATTCGCTAGAGTGAATATGGGCTCAGTGTCCACAAGAAGACCATCAAAGTCGAATATTACATGAGTAATGCTCGGATTCATCTGCAAGAAAACACAAGGTAACAATTGGTCAAAACGACAGATACGATACAGTCAGTAACAGACACATCAATTATTTGGAAAATTAAAAAAAAAATAAATTTCTTTCTATTTCAAATCTTAAAAGACGAACACTCAGCAGGTAAGCAGCTCCACGGGCCCAAATCTTTGACCAGGAGCCTAAAGTGTATTAGTCAGAAAAATGAAATTAATGTGTAAAGACCAGCTTTTCAGAAGCACTTTCATTTGAGAATATTTCAAATTGTTCGACTTGATATCCTGATAACTTATCCGTTCTTGGAAGCTCGAGCCAGTTCTGTTACACAGCTACAAACAAAAACGTTAAGATAGAAGCACCTTCGGAACTTACATTCTGGAATAAGGATAAAAACGAGCTTTTCGTTAGTCTAGAACAGCCTTGGGGGGTTGTTCCAGTTGACATCTCAATTACTTCTACGGTATCGTCCGCAATATTCCAATTAAGAGCATCAGAGGATTGTTTGAGTGAGTTCTTCACTTGCACTGCCTAAATAAGGAATACAGTTTAGGTGGAAACAGAGGGCTTATACATCACATATGGCGGTTGTTGGTTTGTTCAAGGCAAATGGAGGCTGAACTTTCAAGCCAACTAATCTTTCATAAACACTACGATTCAAGCGAATAGTATCTTCTCCTTCAACGCATATTGAGCTGAGATAGACCTAGAAAGATATGACAATGATCAAACCGCCCATATCCTTACTGGACGCATGAAAATGTTCAAAAGAGCTCCTTGTAAACCCAGAACGTTCCATCTCATTAATTTATCACTACAAGACATTATTCGGAGTTTCTGGCCATCTCGTATACGTTTCAAAGATTGCGTATCTTTCATACTTTTAGTGAGAACACATCCCGCTCCTAGACATGAGTGAAAAACCCTTTTTAGTAACTTTTTTCGAACAAACCTGCCTCTAACTTCATCCGCAAATTCCCCGTGTTAGCAGTAACGGGAGAGTTGGGCAGATGTTGGCTATAAACACGAGCATCACCACATGGTTGAGAGCTCACGTAGAAGTGGAAGGATAGATTCTTACGCACCTTGAACAATCCTGGACAAAAAAACAAAAATCTTGATTTTAATAGAGACTCACTACCAGGACGTGCTGTCATAAAGATGGACGTCTCCGATGTGTTCGTGTTCGAAGCTATGAAGACTTGACTATACAAAAACCTGGCATAGCAACATCATTATTTTCTGGTTGACCTGATCAGTAACCTGACAAAACCTCGTCGACATAGAACTTCGGCATGACTATCATGTACAACGGTGCCCATCGCGTTGAGACAACCTCCTAGATGAATACAAATGTGATGAGCTACAACAGTCTCACAAACCTGTTATACATTTATTCCCTGAAGCCAACGATATCAACGTCATCTTCTGATCGTCAGCATCGTACATATAAATGGCGGCGATTACCCGATCCACCCCATCTGTGCTAGGTAAAGATAGCGATAATCTGAGAGAAGTAAATGAATGTTTATCCATCTTAAGATCTAACTTATTAAATTTGGAATATGTATGGAACTTCATCAGCTCATAGAAAGTATTGTTGTTTATGAAACTAATATCAATAGGCAAGATCTTGGCTTCTTGATAAATATTGAATAAGAACTGAATTCATGAGTGATAGGAACGATGTAACTGTTTCCTGACCTGCATATTCTCACTAACACAAGCCATCTTTGCTTTCTTTTTATTTTTGCATATAGAACCCTTACGCATAGTATCGCCTATTTTAACTTTATAAAAGAACCGAGGCCTTAAAAACTTATATGAAGGAAGATCTTTGTGGAATCAACTGACTTATCTTTCAATGACTGATCATCACATATAAAAATGGCATTTTCTTTGTAAAGTAACTGATATATTTCACAAAACGAAGAGATCAAATTTTTTTCAGTTCGAGATATATACTCGTTCAGAGAAGGGGAGTAGCTTGCAGCAATTTCATCCATCTAAAACATAAATGAAGACGTTCAACTTCATTGTAGAACTTACAATGAGAACCAAGTTACTGCATGAACTGAAATTGAAAGTTAAGATGGATGAACTAAGCTTTGATATATTTTACAGAAATGACTGAGAGCCAAACACATTTAACAATATTTACTATTATTTTCATTACATAACAAATTAAGACAATCTCTCTAATCTCTAACAGAGGGACTATTCATCTAACGATACAAATATTCGGCTTGGAGATTAGCAGCTAACTCAGGCTCCCATCGATCACCATTAAGGAGAAGCTTTTCCTGAAGTGAAAAAAAGTGTTTTACAAGTATAATTTGAAGCCTTACCTTGTTGTAAAGAAGCTCTTCGTGAGTTTCGGTAGAGTATTCAAAGTTAGGTCCTTCAACGATAGCATCAACAGGACAAGCTTCTTGACACAAACCACAGTAGATACATCTAAAAATACAATACAACTTGTGCAAATGGGGGGAAAACCAACTTAGTCATGTCAATATCGTATCTAGTTGTACGTCTGCTACCATCTGGGCGAGTTTCGGCTTCGATGGTAATAGCCTAATTAATAGGTACATGATTCACACATAAAATTTATACCTGAGCTGGGCAAATAGCCTCGCATAGTTTACAAGCGATGCAACGCTCTTCTCCAGAAGGATAACGTCTCAAAGCGTGCTCTCCACGGAAACGGGAACTCAATGGTCCTTTTTCAAAAGGATAGTTGATAGTAGCAGGCTCCATGAAAACGTGACCAAGCATTACACCAAATCCTAAAAACAATGAGCAAGAATATACTTTGTTACATACCTCTAAAGAGCTCAGTGAAGAACATAGTGTTAAGCCCGTAGTTTAAATCCCCGGAAAAGGACCCATCGGTTTCTTGGGGCATACCAACATATTTATAATTTGATCTTTTTTGAACTAAATTGTTTGATGAAACCGCAGTCTGAAAAAATAAGTTTTCTCTTCTCAAACCACCAACTGAAGCTTACTTGTGGAGCACGAGCGAAAGAACCTTTAATAAGGCTACCAGCAGTTCTCAAGGCCATACCCTTAATCAAAACTAATTATTATCAAAAATCAGATAATTAAATATAAAGCAACAAAAGTAATAATTAATGAACAAGTGGTTTCCATTGTACTCAACATTTTCTGATCTTAGTACGTGATACTACGTCAATCCTCCCCAGGTCTTCCTTCATATAACGAGAAAGTGCACAAATATGAAAACTTCAAACGTAGAAGCTTAGTCCTCTTTAAATGTATGTGGAAATTTGATAAAGGGTAGTCGGGAAACGAAAAAAGTGTGTCAGTGGAATGTATTCGAGTACTTATTGCACTAATTCTTTGACTAGGAATTATTTCATAACCTAGTCTGTTTTGAATTGTTAGCTCTACAGTCCACTAACCTTCTTCAGATTGAAAATGTCTCACGACGGATGGAAAGATTTTAAGTTTCCAATTGTCCGTTCAATTTGTTATGAATCATCAAGAACTTAACTTTAGGATAAATATGTTCAATACTACTACGAATTGGATGAAATTTCAAAGTCAAATCCTGTAGTGAAAGTTTTAGATACGCTAAAAGCACGAGAAAGAAAAACAATTGTGGTGTGTTAATACATACCTGATTACGACTTTTATGAGAATTTAGGATGAGCATGGCATAGTCGTATCATTCTTCATCGACGAAGAAGAACATGTGCATAAAAGATTTTTCAAGCCTTCTCTACAATCTCAAAGAAATTCATTTACCCTTCGGTGTCTCAAGGAGTTCTTTGAAAAGCGTGGTGAAATTCATACGGTATATTGATATCATTCAATTGTATAATGAGATTCAATGTAGATAGGCATAATGGGATGTGGAGCTTACTCCTTCGAACGATTTTCTTTGCATCAGTTACCTGATATGGGAGTCAAAGTTGTACGTTCTGTAGATATTTGTCCGGAAACTCTCGAGAAAGGATTCAAAGCTTTAAAGTTCGAAATGATACGATCTTTCTATGATAGATGACAGTTTAGATCTAGCCTTAGTGCCGTACATTCAATGATCAGTGGTAGTGTTGAGCGACCTTCAGTCTTGGAGCAGTACTACGGCAAGTTACATTGTTTATTTACCTTATCCGTTATCCTTCAAGGTGACATAACGGATGCTGATGAAAGGTTTATCGGGATAGATTGTGTTTGCTCAACAGAAGTGTAAAGATGACAGTTTGAAACTATTTTTCTGTCAACTCTTACAGAATTGAACATATGCCCTTATCAGTAGCTGAAGATTTTGTGAGAAACGTTCTAGGAAACCTGCAGCCAAAACTTTTTGTTTTATCAACACCTAATTACGAGTATAACGTTGCTTGTACGAAAACGATGAACACGATTCTCTTATCAAGTTTTTTTCAGTCGGATCTAGTACTTTTAGACATGATGATCATAAGTTTGAGTTCAGTCGTAAGGAGTTTGATGAATGGCAAGTCATCTTTCACATTTCGAAAGAATAACACTCCACTTTTAAGGATCAGTAAGGTATCCAAAGATTACCCTTATGAGTATATTATCCACTATGTTGGAAATGTAGAAGGTAGCAGTAATTTTCTGTCACGACGTTCTTTATAATTGCCCTTTTGAGGCTATGAAAACCTCTCTGGAGCAACACAATTTGCCGTTCTGTCTAGAAAAGAAAATGTTCCGATTGAAGATAGAGCTTCGAAAGGCAAAATTTATGAGAAGGTAAACCAACGGAAACTATTTGGGGATATGTGAACTTCCAGGTTGGACAATCTATCCTTTTTGGAGGACTTAGTGTGGTTATAAAGAATGTTTGCAAAGATGCCTTCAAGAAATTCTTGGAATTGCATCCTTTACATCACAATAACCTTCGTGTAGGTCCATGAAGTGAATTTCTAATACGTAAGATGTTCAGCGCGAGTGTTACGGAAAATTTTGGGAGGTTGATGTTGATGATGTTATGGCATTAGTGGCAGCTCCAGATATCATAAAAGAGAGGATTACGTCGTCTATCGTCATGCATGTTTCTCATGAGCTATTGGAATGACGTTATGATTCAGGAATGTCATTCGCAATATATGTGAAGGCTATGTCGTATGCCATGCATCTGGATCGAAAGGAACTCATGGCAAGATCGTCGTTCCTGAGGCCACTACTATGGATAAAATCAAGGAACTATTGAATAAAGAGCTCACTTGCTTTTTTTGAAAGCGTCTTGTTGTTCTCATTTGCGGACATTTGTTATGTAAAAAAAAATTTTAAGTTTTTAACTCGATTTTCTTGAAAATAAAGCCTTGTATACCAAGAAGTTACTTAAAAGGATATTCGAAGGCATAACCCATATTGTAGTATACGCGACATGTTGATCAAAGTTTTTAAGAAACAGCTGTCTTAGAGTATCATTATCGAAGATTCACTTAAATCCCTCTTCCTCTTGTTCTTTCTCTCAATTTTTCTCTTTATTTTTTCGTTCAGCTTTATCGTTCTTCAAACGAAAAGTTTTCTAACACATACGTATACACTAGTACTACTTGGCTGCTCTAATCATATACTTCCTTTTTGGCATTTTTTTGAAACATTTTAAACCATTATTGAGCTTTCAGGTATTATTATGTTTCTTTATGCCTTCCGTGTGTGAGATGTAAAAAAGAAACCATAATGTGCCTTTTCCTAAGCTCGTGAATTGAATTGCTGAGTTCACTTTTCGGATTATGAGACCAGCAAATCGCTCTTCAAATTTCGCTCAATTTCAAAAAAACAGACGTTTCCAAAAAACACAATAATTAGATAACTCACTTAGTTGGGCTATTTCTTTCTTCCTACCATACGTTATTGAGATTCTGCTCTTGCTGCTTATAAGTTGCTTTGATACTTTTGGAGCTTAGCGTTTCAAAGCTCAAACGTTCAGTGTCGTCAAGTAAGATGAGTATTTGAGGTTTCCTCCTCTTTGTTCTTGTATTGGTTCTTGTTTTAATCCTCACGTCAGCATATTGTTTGATCTACACCCTACATGGCTTACACCATCGTTTCTCATCATCTCCTCAAGATTCTTTGATTGATCAATCTTTGTTAAGCTTCTCCTTATTTCTTCAATTTGAATTATTATGAATTATGCGTTTTATGCTATCTGTAATTCGAATACATCATATTCATACTTTGGGTTGTGGAAATACCATGAATGTAATCGGAGAAGGATGTGTGGCATTTGTCTAAATGACCTCCTCATTCCATTCATTTCATCCATCTTTGAACTAAGCATAATGAGAAACTCAATCATCACGTGTGTGTGCATGTGCGGTTGTGTGCTTCGGCCCTTCATCTTCTCACTTAGCCAAATTCATATAATCATTATCTAATAAGTATTGTAGATGTTGCACGACTAAGCCCTCTTTCCTTTTTGGTCTTCTTTAGGTCTTATTTTGCTTTTTTCGACTTGTTCAGTTGCTTGTAATCCAACTACATATAGCCTTGCTTCAGCTCTTAAGTCATCAGATGCCTGTCTCGCAGTCGTTCAACAAGCGGATATTTCGTTGTTTTGAGCGAAATCTGGATGGAACTCCGAAGAGCCCATGAAGTTGTCATCCATCATTTCTTCTGTCATTTTTTAGATAGTCAATAATGGCAAAATGATGATGTCCAAGCTAATGAGTGCATGAGCATTGCATGCATCAAAGACAACAGATCTGATATCGCTCAATCTCAGCTGTTACTTTGTCCATACCTATATCAATCAGTTTTTCCTTCTCTTAATCGTTCTCTGTTTTCATTTCCAATCTATTTTGCAAATCCTATAACATACAATAAAAGGTTAAAAAACTAAAAAAATAAATATATACCGACGAGAGATAGAGATTATTTGTGAGAATTTGAGAGGAAAGAGAAAAAAAGCTTAAGCCACATATATGGAAAATGCTGAAAGCACAGTCAGCTGTGACATTGGCACACTGGGGCAACAGTTGCATAAAACACATAAACATTACGAAATCTTTTGCCGTTTTTCCTTTTTTTTTCTCTGTTTTTATCTTCAAAATTATAATCTATATAATATTTATATGTGATATACCTATACGTATATATAGTATAGTTAGAAACACTTCCTTCTCTCTCTCTCTCTCTCTCTCTCTCTTCCTATACCACTTGTCAAACAATGCCAACGCATTAGTCTTCAAACCATTGGTTCACGTGGGTTACGTGTAGTTTTGCGCATTACTTCATTCTTGTGCTGGCACACGCGTTGAACGGTTGATTCTCATCTGCTACGGACGGATCGGCTGCATTCCTTTCAAATTATCTTTTTCACCCAGTTTGCATGAGTTTCAGCTTCATCCTCTCTCATTCTTCTTTTTTGTTGTTGAATTATATTAATTTAAAGCTATATATTTCTTTTTGCCAAACAATTCGTTTCAAAAATAAAAAAAAAAAAGAGAAAAAGAGAAATGAAATCAGAAGACGAAATGCTCAGTAAATTCATTAGAAGCATTCTCTGTCAAACACACTTTCTAAGTATATTTTCTTTATGGCAAAAATGCTTAAAGAAGCTCTTGTAAGAAAATTCTTAGTTAAATGTATATGATTAAGAGCAACTTGAGCAAGCAGCATTTTGCTTTTGAAGTTCCTACTTCAGCCCACGCTTACAGCTTAGTCATGACTTCATGAAGTGTTACATTGAATTTCATGGATAAGAGACGACAACCAAATTAGAATGTAGCGAAATCGAATGGATGGTACCGTTATGCGACAAACTCTCATCATTTCTCTTATTCTCCTAAGTGTGCGTGTGTGTGTGTGCAACCGACGTACTACGACTGCTCCTTGTTCTGTTAACTTCTTTGTCCTTCTTTGAACATTAACACATAACTTTGCATAATTTCATTTGGTGACATCGTGATTTTTTGGAGATCTGTTAGATCTTTATTCAAATTACCTTCAAATTTCATTTCCGGGACTCAAAAATGGAAAAGCCATAGTTAGCTTTCTTTTCATTGAAAGAGGTCAAAAGGCAATATATGCAAATAGTTCCTTCTCTCGAAAGAAATTTTCACCAAACGAGTTCAGCTCTATGTCCTTCGTCTTCATCGTTTGGCTTCTTCATCCTCGTAGTCTTTTTCTTATATTGAATTCGTGCTCATTTTAGCTCAGTTTCCGTCCATCATTATCTATTCGGCTTTCTTCAATTCTGTTGAATGTTTCTCCATGTGTTCAACCTTTTCATTCTTCTCATTAAACAGGCAAATGCTCAACAGGCAAGAAAAAAAGTGATTCTTTGGAGAATATGTTCAAGAGCTCATCCTTCCTCTACCCAACCAAACCTCTCCCTCGGTCCTCCCTCGAACCCTTCACAACCGAATGCTGAAAAGAGATATGTAATCGAATATTCGATATTTTAAAGCCTAAGCTCTTTTCCATTACCTAGGAGAAGCCATTATTCTATAAACACATAAAAAAATATGTTTTATGAAACCTATGAAAGCATTTGTAAGCCTCCGAAGTTCACAGTTCACATACTTTGTTGACCAGTTGAACTATTAGAGGGTCCAATTCAAACTATCTTTAATTATATCCGTTCAAATGTCTCAAATGAACTTTATGAAACTATTCCCAAATAGCCTGTATAGTCTGCTCCATTGAAGCTTATGTCATTTTGTTTTTTACTCTTACAACATGTCAAGACATAGCTTATACCCAATTTGTTATTTTTATTTCTCCATTTCAACATTTTCAGAGAGAGAGAGAGAGAGAAAGAGAGAGAGAGAGAGAGTGGGTGAGATAAACAGCAAATACTTTCTATCAATCGACGTGTAAGGTGATAGCTTTGACACTGTTGAAGTGTGATCTACTCAAACTCAAAAACATCTGAAAAAAAGTGAAATCATAGATGTGAACGTACTACTCCTCACCTTTTAATGATTCACAAGAGAGATAGGGAGGGACAGGGAGGATGAACCTTCCCTCGACATTATTTTTCACATCAACGATGTTCTCCTTCGTTAATTCTTCTTTTTGCTCTTCTTTCTTAGCTTTCACATTCATTCTCTTACTTGTCTCATCTTTCACATGGTGCTCAACCGTGTGGAAGAAGTAGCTCATCAGACGATGAAAACATCACTTTCAATATTGTCACGTCATTGTAAGGAGTTAAGGCTAATAAGAGACTGAGGAGAGAAAGAGAGATAGAAAATGTGAAATCGTCACATGTTTTGTTCTCTATCTCATTCATTTACTATTTACCCTTTCTTTTAAAAATTACAAAAAAAAATGGTTGTCACCTACGAACACGCATAGTCACTTTGCTTTGCGTATATATGTGCATTCGCAGTTCCAATTACCTCCGCCACTACGCACATCATTCAAAACGGATGTCCGATTGTGTTTCGTTCCCCATGCACGTGATCAAGATCATCGAAGTCATCAACTTAAACAACGAATAAAAGCATCTATTTAAAGAGAACCAAAAAACTGACTTATAGTCATTCATTATGGTAATAATGAGAGAGCTCAAATGGTGCACCTTCCGTTACCAATTTTACTTTTTCCCTTCTTTTCTCTTTTTATTCTCTTTAAGCAGCTCATTTGATATATACGGTCATGAGGCCTTGTGTTCATTCTCTTTATAAATATATATTTATATTTATATATATACATATGTTCAAGCCATATAAGGTGCTCATTCTCATTTTCTGTTCATCTTAGCCTTCATCGCCATCGTTGAAGAGTGAGTCAATCCGTTTGTGCATGATCTCTGCTCTATAACATTCCAAAATGTTCATATATGATACATATGATTGTTTTATTTGTCGATATTCAGAATTAATAGCTTCTTTTGATGTTGTCAAAATAGGAAGCAGAGTTCACGTACTTAAATAACAGCTCATAATTATACGACGAGACAACTCAAACGCAACACCAACACACTTCATAACGCCTTCGCACTACATCTACATATACAGATGCGAAATTAAAAAATCAGTTTTAAAATTTAGAACAAATGACGTCGAACGGGGAAAACTGTGGATTTCTAACTTGAAAACAGCTTCTCGTTCTTCCTCTTCGTTTTCCATATTTGAAACGCTTCTCTGTTAGTTTTTCAACTATCCTCTATCCAAGAGGGACCTCTCAGCTAGCTTATATTGTGACAGCACATTAAAGTCTCAAAAAAATGGGAGGCGACTCAGATTTATAAGTCTATCTCTGCCAATTACCAGTTATGGTCATCTATAGTTTTTGAACAAAGCCTATTCTCATTGTTCAGCTCTCCCCCCCCCCACTCCTCCTTTTCCACCATCCGCTTTTTCCTAAACCTCACATCTTGCTTGCAATCAACCACTTTTTCTAAGTGAAGTAGTTTCAGACACAGAAGTAACAAAGTAGGAAAATATTTATTCTTCCACTGTGTGTGTGTGCCAGACCACATAGAGGTTTGTGCTTCTCGTAAACTTCCAAGTCGTAACTTCGGTTTCGTTCTATCACTTAATTCATCCAAATACGCAGCTTCAAACAAAACAAAGTGAAAATGCAGAAGTTATCTGTCATAACACTATGTGATCTCTTGTCTTCTTCCTCTCTAACCTATTCATCTACATCCTGTTATACAAGTTATAGTAACAACCTTACAATACTAAATGAAATTGCTTTTTTTCTGTTTTTGTTACCAAAGCTCATCAAACCGCTCATGTCTATTCCATATGGCTGCAACGTACCTGATATTGGAAATTTTTCGAAAATTTTGAAATTATTTGCAGAAAAATTGTAGTTGGTTAAAACAAAAAAACAAGCATGACAATCATCAGTATCCTAAGTCTCTAAATCAATTCACGTAATCTTCGTGCCATTCTTTTTCGAAGCTCTTCATCATCAGAGCATCTCTTAACATTGCAATTCGCCTATAAGGGGTGATGTGTTTGCTGTTCAGTCAGACACACGCAACTGAAAAATCCTCTCTCTTTTATATAGGCGCATCTAAAATGAATCTCTTTAAAACAGATATTAAATTTTCTCACATAAAAAATTTCTTTTTTCTCTTTCTAACCTCACTCGTGATATGCTCTCCGATTTGTACTTCAAGCTTCAGATCATTCCGTCTATGTCATAATCTCTCTCTCTCTATCTCTCTATCTCTCTCTCCCTCTCTCTCTTACTCTCCTTGTTAGGGTTTATCATTTTATATGTAGGATACAATAAAGAACACAAGGCTTCTTTCTCATGTACTCTGTCACCAAAGCTTAACTATCCATCAAAATTCAAAACCAAAAGCTAGGTATCAGCGTTCTAGTCGTTTCTTGATGAAAAAAAAGGTTTCAGTTTCATGAGCGGATCATATTTGACGTAAAAAAAAATAAAATGAGCGAATTCTAGAATTAAGAAACAGAATCTATAATGGTTCATTGACTTAGCATCGTCGTCTTTTTCCTCGTTTCAAGCAGAATGACAACGATGACGGGAAGCCTCGTTCCCTTATAGGATGTGCTTGAAGCGGCTGAACATGGGTCGCTCACATCTTATTTCTCTCTTTCTCTCAATATCTTATTGTGATGAAAAAAAACTATTCCCTCATAAACATATAGCTGATTGTCCTCTAGTAACATAAAAAGTATACATCAGCTTATACTAGATAAAGAAAAGAATCCCGCTTTTCCTCGTTGAGCACGAGAGAGAAAAGCACAACCGACACAAACTGCCAGTCTTTATTCTTTTGCTTAACTCAATTCTTGACACAGTATAAGAAGAGAGAGAGAGAGGGATACAGAGAGAACTGACTATAAACAGTCATCCAGCTGAAAGCCATAAGAGAAGAAGAGAGAGAGAGAGAGGGAGTGACCTAATAATGAATTTGAACATAAAGGTACGTGTTCTTCTTGTTGTAGCTTATCTAAAGTTCAACACTATCTCTGTCATTAAAATAATTTTGAGCTTTTATGTCTTACTTTTTATTACAATTAATAGTTGTTCTCATGGGCAACATGTACTCCAAAACATAAAGAGAGAGAGAGAGATGAAGAGAGACAGAAGGTTAGAAAGAGAGGCGTAGGAGTAGCAGAAGAACAACCTTCATGACATTATAACTTTGAAATTTTCTTTAATTTCAAGCATCTTCTTCACTCAAATTGCCTTGTCAAGAAATACATTCTATATCGTTGTTGTAGTCCAGTTTATTACTTTATACTCACTGACCTTTTTAATATTTCCTTCACACAACAGAAGATGTTGAAGCCTTCTTTGTTTCTTCTTTTTCTTTTTTTAAATTTTTTTTTTCTCATTTAAAACTTCGTCATAGCTAAATGCTTCTCTTTCACTCTTTTTCTCTCTTAGTTCTCAATTCATATGCTCGTCGTCTTCATTCATGTTGCGTTCATCGTCAGTTTTTCATTTATCTATCTTGCTTATAGAAATGAGTTGTGAATACTCTTTCTATATATACTTATATGTACATATATAAGGATAGAAAAATAAAAAAAAGAAAATAAAGAAGTTATCTTTGCAGTTATTCTCATCTGACACTCGTGCCACTGTTAGAACGTCAAAAAAATGCCTGCTGACAAGGATAATCTCTTTTGGGCCGCCCTGTTGGATCACAAAATTCCAAAAAAAAAGCTGAAAAAGAAGGTTTGCAAAACAAACATTGAATACGATAGATAGGTTACCTCTCTCGTTCTCTATTTAAGGCTAAATTGGATAACATTGATGAATTATCATTGAGATATGATGTTGCTAAAACGGATGTTCAGAAAGTTTACAATATTTTCCTTTCCATGGACGACGATGGATCAGGAACCATTTCAGCATCTGAAGTTTGTTTTTCATTTTTGCTTTTACAACTCTCCGAGAGCTCTATTTGAAACCGCTCGAGAGATCTCTTAAACACGTCTCTTGCATCCTATCTTAAATTGCATAGTTATTAAGGTTGCGAAGATGCTGTCTGATTTTGGTTGCGATGTTTCTCCAAAAGTGGTTCAAGCAGTTATGCGAGCTTCTGACAAAAGCGGAGACGGCGAGATTGATTTTGAGGAGTTTCTGGCAGCTGTCACATCAAAAATCAAGGTAATCCCATTCGATAAAGATTATTTCGAAAAAAAAAGAGAAAAATGATCTTATATACTTATTAAAATGCTCATTCCTTATTCCGAATATTTATGTTTTGCTTAGGATTCCATACCAAGTGTTGCTGAAAGCTCGCAAAGCGAAGAAAATGAAGTATCATTTCCATAATGTTTTTGTTTGTTTGAGTAATTATCTAACAGTTGTGGAAAAAAGCCTGAAATAGTAAACTAAAAATCCTTTTAACTAACAAATACTAGTATCTCATACTTGTGTATAGTTTCTACTTGTTATAATGACATGCTCTCCGTTCTTACATTACTTAAACAATAGAAGTACTTTTAGTTACAAAACTGCAAGGCTGACATTCACGTGATGTTCCAGAAATTCGATCAAAACGGCGACGGATTAGTAAGAAACTCATTGAACTTACAAGAGAGGGGACTTCATCTCATTTCAGTTGTCCGCTGAAGAACTTGTCGTTGCTTGGAGAGAAACTTTGAAAACAAAGATTACAGTTCAAGAAGCTGCTTCATTGATACAACAAGTGAGCTCATTAATCTCCGATTCATTTTGATCTTTTGCCCTTCAGGCTGATACCGAGGGACGAGGAGCTGTAACCATAGGAGAATTCATAACCATGTGCCAGACTGTCTGAAAGACCATTATTTAATCCTCTTCTAATTATATTTTAAATATTCAAATTACAAAACCAATTTACGGAAAAACGAAAAAAAAGAGAAAATATCTTCAGTTCTTCGTTTAGCACATCAGAAACATCTGTTCATCATTCCTCTGATTCATTAGTTTGAGAAACATTCCTTACTCGGTAGCTTTGTGCAAAAATATTTTAAAAACAACTTTACATTTATAAAATTATATTGAAACAGCATTTGTCACTATGAATGAATGAAGAGTCCATACTGTTACATCGTTATTCAACAATGCCAACCTGACACAAATTAACATAATATGAAACTTGTAATCAGAGAGAACAACCGTTCATTTCAAGAATTCCACAAGAAATGATTCAGTGGCAGCCGCTTCGTAAAAAGTTACCGTGATTTTAATTAGTGAATTGCGCCAAACTGGTCGTTGACAAATTTCAATTCAAACTTCACTTTCATTATCGAACAATTAGTTTGCTACGAAGTCAACCTAGTCACTGAGATAATTAATACTTCCATATTTGGATATGAGTATATATCCTTTAATTCTTCTTTTCACGTGCAAAATAATGATGATAATGAACTGCATACTCTCTTAATGATGACAGATGGCATTTTCCATCTGCCTTATTTTCTTCAAGCATAGAAATTATGTTATTGATTTACCGTTGAGACACACAGTTCATATTCATTCATTTCAGATTACCTTTTAACATATTCAGCATTTCCATTGTATGGAACAGATCAAATCTGAATACGAGCCCTCTGTTATCTTTTGCATTGCAGCACTGCTGTTCCTTTTGTGAATTTTCCTTTAGACTTCAACTCTCGACCAATTGCAAATGTAAAATCATCGAAAAATACAAACATAATCGCAATAAAAGAAAATTCTTCTTGTTTTTCTCTTTTTGCTTCCTGTGAAAGTATTATTGCTTCATATTTAACTGCCAAATTTTGAAGAAATGTTGAAATCAGAGAAAGGCGACGAAATAGAACAGAAGCTTTAATTTGATTTCATATGGTTTATCAATCACTTTTGCTCTCTCTCTCTATCTTCACACGGCAATAGATGCATTCGACGCTCGAAGTAAATTAACAACTATTCTCCAAACTTCACCCATGGCGCTACGGACTTCTACACCAAATGACATTTTTGACCTCACGGAAATATAGTTTTTTATTTTGTTTTCTGAAAAAAACAACATATTCCCATGAAAGTTTGCTAATGCCCTTCTATGGGATGGATAGAATTGTGAAAGATTGTTGGATTCCGATTTTGATTTCTCTTGTATTTGCTTTTGCTCCCTCTAGTTTCTTGAACTGTTTAGATGGTCGATATTGGTTCCTTATTAGAAGTTACGACTTTGGATGTTGTGCTCATTGCCATTCTCTTGGTACTAGTGTACAGATGGTATAAAAGACAAAATGAGCCAGAAATCGCTCGAGACATTCCGAAACCTGTGAGTTTGTTCTTTGTATTCAATCAGTGTGAAGTCTTTGCATCATGTTAGGTTGCCCCCCTCAAAATGACTGATATGACCGTAGATGAGTTGAAAAAGTACAATGGGGAAGATGATGAACACATTCTGTTGGCCTGTGATAGAATCGTATATTTTAATGCATTTTCTGATTGTTTTTGATGATAATTTGTTAAGATTTTCGACGTTTCTCGTTCGACAAGCTTCTACGGAAAGGGAGGTGCTTATGAGAAATTGGCGGGGCACGATGCAACTAGAGCACTGTCCGTCATGGATGCTAATCTAGTCAAAGAAGAATGGGATGACTATGCAGGACTCACTGATGACCAAAAAGTTCTTTACACAATTCGTTTTTTTGTTATTATTCTTTTAAAACATGCAGGACACATCCAATGAATGGAGGGACAGCTTCCTAGGAAAATATCCCACAGTGGGTCGCCTTGTTGAGAAAGAAAATTTGAAGAAAAACTATGAAGATCGTGTTGCTGGTATCAGATCACTCAACTAAAATGTGATAAGATTGTATTCCAAATGTAAAAAAAGTTATATTGTAAATGTTTTATCTATATACAGCATGTTCCACTTCTTCTCTGTCTGCTATCAGGCCTACCGTTCTTTCATCTGTATTAGTTGCATCGTAAACTGTGTTTCAGATTTACATGGCTTTATTTTACCCCATCCAAACCCCAAGTTTACCTTTGAAATGGGACGAGCAGTTATGGACAGCACCCATCGGATGTTGTGAAGAGTTCCTACTTCTACGAATCCTCTCCATAAAACAGAAAACTGATGTAATTCTTATGAATAAGCTTGAAATCAACAAACATTTGCTTATTACAGTCAGGGAAAGAACTCTTAAGTTATTGGAGTGAGAAAGTTGTTGGATTACGAACAGAAAGTGATGATGAAGAACATGACACGGACGAATAACATTCATTATAAATTATTTTGTACAGTAGTTTCGTTTTTTTCCCCCACAGTTTGATTCTGACTTATCTGCTTCATCTTTTGATATTTTGCTTATTCATTCGTTTTCTTCAGATGTTTGATGGTTGCTATGATGAACCTATGTGAGTCTTGAGTTTCCCTACTTGCATTTTAATATTTGTTTACAGACCACCGGTACCCACCACCCCCATTCAAGTAGCACATAAACTACCAGCAGAAGAAATGAAATCAGCAGAATCTCCAAGTATTCATAATCATTTTGATAATGAGTTAGTTGTTTGTAACAGCGAGATATACGTTCGATGATTTTCCGATTACCAAGAGAGAAACACTGAATGTGTCCAATTATAAGGTGAATTTTGTTCTCATTATTGAATATGATATATGTTATCATTTCAGCTGGATCTTGTATATGCCAAACGAACTTTGGGTTTGGCTGTTCGCTTGAAAAAGGGGGATTGTATACGATCATCGTTGTTAAATGATCTAGCAACGGAAAAGGAAATTCGGGCAGCAGCTCGAGCATTAGAAGAAGAAGTTTTAAACCCAGGTAACAGATGCCGTAGTTGAAGTTGAAAATCTGATCTTCATTAGGGAAGAATTTTGTTAATAAGGAAAGTGTGCCTTTTCTAAATAAGCATTTCATAGTTACAATGGAGAAGGTATGAAAGGGTTGTGTTCGGTATGAGAGTATCTTCGATTCAGGAAAGCCTCTTGTTTCCTGAAGCAATTTATTATTGTGAGCTATGCTCATTTCATATGAATAATATAAATCAAGCTAAATCTCATGTGGAACAGTATGCAACTCATTTAGATGGTGAAGAAGTGAGTCGTTGTAGTTGAAGTTTTGTCACACAAAGTTGTGTTTACAGCGTTTCCAACAAAGGAAAAATCTGTTCAATAGTTTGCCTAAGCCCAGTAATAATCATCTTGAGGCTCTAAACACTTTGATTTTGCACGAAGTTGGAGAGGGTCGGATCAAGGTATTAGCTTATAGATACAGCAGAAGGATTGATCGTCCATGCTCTTCTAGACTTCTTCAAATCTTCAACCTAATAATTTACAATCCTTTGTTAAAGAAAAAACTGAGAGTCTTACCATAATGCTTCAGAAGATTATTCCAGGTAATCGTGTTAGTGTCATGAACGTTTGAAATTTGTTTTTCAGACAAGTTAGTGACGCTGACGAATTATGGCTCAGTGTTAACCGATTGTGATACTTGCCACAGTAACGTCAATTATTTGTTAAATGTAGAAAACTGTAACATCTCCGAATCTTTCGTGATTTTGAGCAAATTCTACAATGGTTTGCAAAGTCATCGTGAGTTAGTTGTGCAGTTCATATACTTCTACATTCACTTCAGAAAAACAAACTAACGAGATTTCAAACATTGTTCTCAGCGATAGCATGCCTCCTAATATCTCCTTTGTGATGAATGTAGAGTTATATTCTGTTTAATCTGTAATAGTTATAATGCATTTCAGAACGTGGAGGTTGTCTTGTCGTGGAAGAACGATGAACACGTAGAAACGAGTAAACTCATTAAAATTTTTAGTGGAGTCTGTGCGAACTTGTCAGTTATATTGCGCTTCGTGCGACGATGGGCTTCGGTTTCTCTTCAACTTTTTTCTGGAATCACAAAGTTCTTTTAGATTTCAGGGTTAGATAACTCGAACAAGAAAGGATGTGGCTTTTGTAGTTTTGTTTTCGATTACATGGTCATTCATTTCTTACAAAAAGAGGGATTCGTCCCTCACTTGAAGGATGTAAGGAGAATCCATTTCATATCCCTTTATCTGACCTTTTTAAGATTTTCGCTGGTTATGTTAATGAGGATAGTGAGGAGAACTTCGCTACAAGCTATTTGCCTCACTTTGACGCACTGTTCGCTGATATTGTTAGTCTTCTCATGAACATCATTTCATTTTTTCATTGTTTCCTAGGCTGATTCGAATAAGTTAAATGCACTCCGGAAACGACTCAAAGTACCGGAGAAGTGGAACTATGCCGACCTGTTTCTGAAATTCTTGAAATATACAATCGAGAATAAAACGGATGTCGTTCAAATCGTTTCCAAAACGCCAATATTGCGAAAGAGCACCAAGCTCAAAGTTTCGGTTTTACAAGTACAAGGTAAAGTTTTTTAGTTGTTGTATTTTGAAATCACGAAATTCCTTCAGACCCTTATGGAGAGAACATTGCTAGTTGTTCGAAGGCGTTTCAATGCTACTTCCTTAATTGCTTCCTGATTTCCTATGTCTATTTCTCAATTCCCCAAAACTCTGATGGACCGCTGACGAAAATAAACTTCTATCAGAAGGTTTTTTTCTTTGCGACAACTTTTTATATCTACGGTTATAGTTGGTGGAGAGTCCGAGAAAGAAGAAGACAAAAGAAAAAGATTCACAGTTTCAAAAGGTTCAGCTAAAACTGAAAGAAAACGAAACACCCGAAAAAACGAAAGCTGTGCGAACGTTGGCTGGCCACAGCACTGAACCACAGTCTGTTAAACCGAATGTATGCTTTTCTGCTTATTTTGCATCTAATTAGTCGTTCCAGAAAAGTCCTGCAGATGAAGATGAGGAAATCGAGAGGTTAACTAAGGAGTTGGAGAAGCTACAACAGGTTAGACAACCTCTTTTTGCACATGTTTTCGTGTCGGTGTTGTTCTAGAGTGCTAAAGTGATTCCAATAACACAAGAAGAATGTATAGAGTTTAACGGTCCTAACCAATATCCCAAAAAAGCAATGTTGGATATCAATAGTAGCAGTACCTACCAATTGACTACAGAAGTATCTTTCGAGCATTAACTCCTCATCAATTTCACTTTTCTAGGTTATGAAAATCATCAGAGCTCAAAAACTTTTAACAACAAAAAAAGTGTTTATTTACAGCATGCAATAGTTTCTTATCGATATTACAGAAGCCTCTTCGACCGGGCTTGATTCTACTGAATCCCGAATCAATGCAAAGTCCTGAGCTAGTGAACTTCTATAACAGGAAAAAGATAAATTGGAAAGATGAAATAATCCGTGAGTTGCTCCTACAGAATAAAACGTGGACAGTGACATATTCAGAAGACCGAATAGAGCCTATTACTCCAGGAAATGATGCCGTTGATGCTGCTGCAGAGAATCTAGTAGGCTTTTGCTGTGTTCACATTAGTGTTTCTGGAAATCATTCTTCAGAATTCCGACAACGTCTGTTTTGAAGAGTTTTTCATGGAGTATGACTTGGCTGGCATTAAGAGCATAAAAGAGAAGGTTCATATACCTCATTTTCGAAACTAAGCTTTTTTTATTCGCAGGTTAAGTCTTGGACAGCTTCCGATTATCGCTACGTGTTTCTGGACTCTCACAATTTCAATAAGGACTTTGTAAGATTTATTGAAATTCAACCCTTCCAAACAATGTGTTCTAGTGTCCGGAGTTGAAATGTACGTTCTGTGACAAGCTGAACCATTCGACAGCTCATTGCCATCGAACGAAGGTTTCTCTATTTTCTTTTATGTTTCTCATTATTTTCCTCAGACACCAGCTCTCACACCTTATCCGAAGAAGGATTCAAATGGATTGTTCGAGTTGGATACTTTGATCATGTTTAATCATGGTAAGACCATAAAGGTTTTGAAAGACAGTTATTAATTTATAGGAAGGGAGAAATTGAGTGATTCATCACAGAAAAACTCCGCTGATGCTGTTCAACATCTAGCAAACATTTTGTCTGATTTCTTCAGAAGAAAAGTCAAGCTTGAGATCTTTGGTTCTTTGGTGAACGGGTTCGGTACGAAAGGATCCGATTTGGACGTTTGTTTCACTTTTGCGAACTCACCTGCAGCTCCTCCGGTATGAATTACACTTTCTAGCTGCTCTAAAACGTTTTTTAAGGAAATTGACCCTAAAAATGTTATTAAACAGATATACAAAGCCTTGATCTCAAGACATAAGTTCGTCTCGAACATCACGCGAATCCTTATGGCTAAGGTTCCCATAGTCAAGTTTGTATATCATTACCACGGATTAGAGTATCACACAGAGTATGTTTTCACCAGGAGAGCTTTTTCTCATTTTTCTTATAGTATAAGTTATTATAATTGTCTTGCCATACACAATTCGAAGCTTCTCCGCACCTATTGTCTGTACGAGCCAGTACGCTTGCCCCAGTTAGGTTTATGGGTTAAAAAGGTAGGAGCAGTTTCTTGAGTATTCTCTAAGTTCTGAGTATAGTTCGCTAAAGTTTGCGATATTGGAGATGCTTCGAAGGGATCTCTGTCTTCTTATTCATATATAATAATGTTGATTCATTACCTTCAAAATTGCGAACCACCCGTGCTGCCAAGACTACAAGAGGTTGTCAAAAAACTGAAATTGTTTTTACTAGTTGTGTCATAGGACTTCAAGACAGATAGCACTCCTCAGAAAATCATCGAAGGATGGGACGTCTACTTCCATGATAAAATTACGGTATATATGTAGATCATTCATCAGTCTGGAATGATTTATTTCAGAAAAAGAAGTCCAAAAACACCATGAAGGTTTCCGAGCTGTTCCTCGGCTTTCTTGATTACTTTTCGAGTTTCAATTATTATCACAAAGTGATTCAAATTAGACGAAAAGAAGAATTATTGAAAATGGAGAAGCGGTGGAATAGACCCATTTGTATCGAAGATCCCTTTGATCTCAAACATAACCTAGGCAACGTTGTTAATTCGAAGAGTTTGTTAAGAATTTCTTAAAATCGAATTTTCTATTATTACAGTGTTCCTCTTCATCCGCCAGTGCTTCATTTCTGCCAGAGATATTTTCAATTCAGAAGAGACGCGATTGGCTTTCTGCCTGAGAATGGGGAGACATCCTATGGATATTATCCAACCTCATGAAATTCCAGCCTACATGGTACTTTCCAAATTCGATTCAATTAAATAGTTTATATCTGTAAGGAATTCTCGCTGGATGCATGTGATTTTGGTAATGCACCGTCTGTTCGTTATTACCGATCACGAGCTGGTAACAACAACACGGAGGAACACAACAAACAAACACCGTTAGTAAATTTCATTTGACCTCGTAACCTTCCTATCTTTTAAGGAAACGTCAAACTCAAGAAGATGCAGGTCAGACGAATGTAAAAGTAAGTTTTGATCGCTTCCCTATTAGAGATTTATTAATTGATAGGAGAGAAAAAATCAAACGTCTACACCGAATCGTCGAAGGAACAAGAAATCATATAATCGTCCGGCTTTAAATCCCAACCAGAATGGAACGACCCAAGTTGCTTCTCCTCGAGCTTGATACAATGCCCTCTCGAAGAGACCTTGCAACGTTCCTGTACAAATTGTTGTTTCGTTGTTACATACATACAACCGTCTACTAACTTATTTGAAACTCAAGTACAATCATCAAAGCAGTTCTATTGTTTTCATTTCTTATCGTTTCCACGATTCAATATCTTGTTGTCCATGCTATTTTCGTTTCTTATCTTTGTTTTCAGATGTTTTACTAGAATTGACATGGTACCAATGAAGCAGCTGCAAATAATTCCGGAAAATAACTCTTCTTTAATTCCCGTTGTGGATCCCATACCGGTAACAGCATTCTGTCAGTTCTCCCCTCCTTTCATCATTCAGTTTGTATTACTTCAGGTCTTCCCGTCATTTCTTTTCAAAACGATCAAAATGGCAACGCTTTATTGGGACTGAATTTGTCGTAATGACAATTCAGAAACTAGCTTTCTTTGATAAAAACCTTTTCAGACCTTGTACAACATACCTCAAACATCTATGTCCACGAGTAAGAAGCAGGCCTTCCAAAGAGTGTAATGAGATTTGTGAATCCATGAGGAAGTACAGGGGTTAGTTACTAGTGTACTGCTTTTCATGTGTCATTACTTCTACAGAGGAATCCAGAATAACCGAAGAAAAGAAACTAGCAATAGAACGTTTCCGAGAAGAGTTAGAATTTTATTTTACTAACGCCCTTCGCGACTTAGGTGGAAGAAGAGTTGTTCTGGAAGTATGATTAGGATGTCTTTATAATTCATTGACTTAATTTCTCAGGTCTATGGATCAACTAAAAATGGTTTCGGTACCAAGGACTGTGATGTGGACATGAGTTTGACATTCAAACCTGACTGCCCACCCTGGGTTGTTTACTTCATTCAACCCTTTTGTTAACTTTCCACATTTGAAGGTGTCGGATGGCAATGGTATCTCTGCAGCTGATGCAGTAATGAGAGAAGTTGCCAAAGTTCTAGTAGATTATCCCAACACACTAGATGAAAGGTTCATTTCGGCTAAAGTACCAATTGTACGGTTTCGAGGTGTTCAAATGGACATCGAAGCTGAGTAAGGCAGTTCTTGAAATATCATTTTTATGTCTTTTTCTTCAGTATCAGCTTTGATAACCAATTGGCGATTCATAACACTTCTTTGATTAGTTATTACTACTATTGGGATCCTAGACGTTTACCTGCTGTTGGAGTTTGGATAAAAACAGTTTGGTCAATTCTTCCTTCATTTGTAAAATTATTGTTCAGTGGGCCAAAAGATGTGGCATAGGTGATGCTTCGAAAGGTGGACTGTCATCTTACGCTTGGATTATTATGTTAATACATTACTGTCAAAATACCGGCAATCCCCCTTTCCTTCGAAGGTTGCAGATGGTTCGTTGAGCTGACAGTCAGAGCCATATAAATGTACAATCTGGTTACAGGAGCCAAAACATGGAATAACTGAAGAAGTGTTTGTGTCTTCATGGAACGTCTACTTTTGGAAATTCTGTAATGTATGTTGTTCGTGTTGTTATACCCTCTTAATCTATGAATTACAGCCTCATGAAAATCTGCATGAAGATACTTCAGTCTATGATCTTTTCATAGGCTTCTTAGAATATTATATAGCTTTTTTATCAATGAGACGAAAAGTTCGTTTTCTCACTGTTATTGAGTTCAATCTTTGTTTTAGGAAGTCATCCAGATCAGACAATCATGTATCGTTTATAAAACTTCTGTACCTAAATGGTCAAAGCATGAGTTGTGTGTTGAGGATCCTTTCGAACTGGATCACAACTTAGCACAGGGAGTCAGCCCTGAAAGTCAGTTTTGCTCTATCATGCCTTTTATGAGAGATCTTTTCAGTGTGTGACTATATTCTGGCTTGTCTAATCCATTCACGAAAAGTTTTTCTTGATCGTCGTTTGAGAAAAACTTTTTTAACTAACAGAAATGCTACTAATATCAATGTAATTGATGGGGATCTTTTAACTGATTATGGGGTATGTTTAGCTTCCCGTTGAGATTCACCTTCCAATCTGTTTTAGAATTTTTTGCTCCGTTGTTGCGTGCTCGACAAAGAACCGCCACTTAGACATTTTATCCGGGATCGAACTTATAGCCAAGCCACTAACCTGAGTGGAGAAACATTTTAGGAAAGTTTTTAAATGAGTTTATTGGAATTTGTTTTATTCTCAACCCTGGTCTAGTGAATCGCTAGCTTCGCTTTCATGTTAAGTGGCTTTAACCGTCAATTTTATTGGTTATAGTTTTGTCTTACGCTTTAGTCCGTTTTCCATCGACACGCTGTGTCATCCTCATCTATATCTATGTCAGCAAAGCATTTCCTATGTACTTGTTGTAAATACGTATGGTTTTTGGATTTTAATTTTTTTTTGCCGTTTTTCATATCTTTTCTATAGAAGTAACTATGTTGGTCTTTATGGTGTATACTATTTTCGAAACGTATCATGCGCTGTGTATTATTCTGTGATTTATGTATAGTCCTCTCTCTATATCCTCAAATAACTCACTTACTGTTGTGCTACATCATTTGATCGCATTATGTTTCTCCCAAGCTCACATAGTTCATAATCGAAAACATCTCACTCAGCACATTCGAATGTAGAGATGTTGTTCTAAGGATTTTATTGATTTTAAAAACAGAGATGTAATATTGCCAATGGCTGTGCCGAACCTCCAAACGTTTAATAACAATTGTATCTATTGTTTTTCTTTAATATGGACACATTCTCAATAAAGCTCATCCAAAGCTTACAATGTTCTGATGCCCCTCACTTATAGTCCGGATACTTCAGTTCTCTTCATACCTCGATTTCATGATAGAGCTCTTTCGCTCAGAACGGTTGCATTCAAATCACTTTACTTCTAAAACATATTTACAAAGTTATTCAGTTGAACACTAAAGCTGAAAATATTATCAAACTGAGAATGAAAGTAGAAAACAAGGAGTTGGATGATCGATTTTTGGCTTGCTCCCAATCAGTTAAGTTTCCTTTGATTTCTAGTTTACCACAGTCCAATACTGATGTTGTGTTGTTTTCTACGAACAACACTGTCTAAAATTAGCTTATGGTTTCAGGAGGAAGTGAAAGGTAATCAAATACCTGTCCTAAGATTGAATCATCAAGAATGTGGAAATCAATTTCATGCCATGGCTGGAACGTGCCAGTTATCTCAGACAAATAGGTTGTAACGCACCTGAATTGCCATTCCCGTTCTGTCTGTCCTAACTGTAAGAAGAGTTCTTCCTTCAAGATGTTCTTTCTGGAATTCGGCCCTGAAGCACGAGGCCAACTCTACTGTAGGAGCATAGATCACTTGATATAACTGAACACATATTTGATAATTTATTGAGAATGATTGCAGCTGTCTCACTGTATCCTCTTTCAGACCCGTAACTATCAGCATTACATGTGGGTTACGACCTCTGGCTTGCACCAGTTCGAGCAAACCTTGCCCACCTTTGAATCCTTTCAGCTTAGCTTGCACATGACCTCCTAATCATGAAAAGTTTATATTGGAACATCAATGAACTGACCTCCTGTGTATGGGGGGTCAACACAAGTGTTTCTAAAATAATTCACGGTAAACGAATGATCCACGTCGTTTTCTACAAATAAATCGGGACGGGTCAGTTGATTCTAAACGAAGATCGTACTCTCAGCTTTTTTCCCAAGTCATACCGACGTACCTGGTCGGAAATAACACACTGATCGTCTCCTGGAATGTGCATGGCGGATAAGCATTTTGAACCACGCAACACTGATGATAAACACAACCGAAGACATTCATCTTTAAACTGAAAGCCAGCAATTATTGAAGATATTTGAATCGAAATCGGCAGAGGTTGTTTCGAAATTTGTCGAAAAATTCCGGATCAGTTGCTGGTATGATTTCAAAGCAAGTTATTGAGAACTCTGGTGTACACTACAACTCAACCCCGACTAACAATTACGATGTTCGATCATCAAGAAGATCGTAAATAAAAAGTCTCCTTAGTTGCGGCAGTTTTTTCAACAAAGGTAAAGAAATGGAATACTTAAACACAACTGATTAGGAACGTTCTTAGATTTATATTGGCGGTGGTTTATGGAAGAAACTTTTTTTATGCCCCTTTCATATAGAAGTTCCTTATGTTTTCTTGGAATGGTTCCGAATGGAATTCCAGCCACATCAAAGATGAGAAAAAAAACGAAAAGATAGACGAGGAGCGCCCCGTTAATTTAAAGATTACGGCCTGCTGGCTAATATGTGTCCTCGGTGAGAAGAATTCCAAACATGGGTGGGGTTCGTAATGTAGGTTCGAAATATTTTGAGAACGTATCAAGGAAGAACGGGAATTTACCTGAACAGATGATGTATGGAATGCCTGGCCAACTAGCCAGTAGTTCTTCTGATATTCAAAACATTTCAGAAGCTGATAGTTTGGTTGATGACTGATGCTTGCAATTTCGACAGCATAGACAGGTGGTGATGTCAACAATAGGAAGAGTGGCAAGGTGATGTACAAAAATAAATTAGAAATACTCGGGAAATACGAAGAAATTATATTTGGCGGGTGAAAGGATAGTTTACGCAGGGTAGACTCAGACTTCATGAACGCAAAAGGCAAACGATGTGGGCGGGCGTGAAGTAACCTGAACAGCCTGATCTTGTCCTCGTAATTTTTCATTGTATTCAAGTGGAATATACTGGAAGCTCATAGCATGAACCCTACTACGGTACGATGAAGAGAGGTAGAGATGGAGACTGTTTTGCTATTTCTGTCTTTCTTAGAATTGCCACGCCTCTATGATAGCAGATGACAACAGGTGATTGTGTTGGCGGTTGTCTAGGTGGTCGTCATCATTTTCATTTGAACATAAGTAAAGACTAAAAAGTTTTAGATTAGTACGTTTATCAAAAAAAACTGATTCGGAATTCAGTTCAACTCAACACTCAAGGAGTAACGTTCTGTGAATTAGTAAATTGCGATGTCAAATTGAATGAAATGCTGGAAGTCCGATCGTTATCGAATAAGGTAGTCATTGAAACATCGAACATGTCGATCGTCCGAACGTTTGAATGACAATCGTGTAGACGGGAATGAAAGAAGATAGAAGCTTATTCGTCAGATTTTTGTTGTACGTCAGCATTCAGGGTCATTCATTTTCGGTTAGTAACACATAGGGAAAACATAGAAAGTGTCAAAGCTGAAAATCATTGATCAATGATAGTTTGGGACGACCGTACGAGACAAGTGCAAGCATTGAACATCGAAAGTAAGACATGAGTAACTATTATACGTTGAGCTCCATCCTTGATGCAATGCTTTGAGATGTCTCTCATAACATTTGCTTTTAATCTCGTAAGGTACGACATCACAAGGCTACTCATGCCCCAAACACAGCCGCTCACTACCATTTGCGATAAAAATAAACTTTCGTTCACATTAAATTCTATTTTAGTGATTCCATATCCTAGAACGACCGCAAAGTGCGCAGTACCTACTAAAATAAAGTTCATGACAGTTTTATTTTCTTGTTCTCCTTTTTCGTTGAGCGGCTGTGCTATTTCATGAACTGCAGATATCATAACACTCCAGAGGGCTGGCCAAATTAGGAAACTTTTTTCCATTTCGTTAGCAATAAACTTGAATAAACTTTTTTCTGAACACTTGTAATAGGTGATTAGAGACAGCTACTGAGAAATAAGTTCCGCGTTGTATGCACCTAGTCTCTCTATCGGAGCACAAACACTGAACAAAACATCGAAACTGCTAACTGTTTATACAGCTTCGAAAGCAATTACTGCGAAGTAAGACTCAGAAAGTTAGATTTTTATGGCATGGTCTATTACAGTATCTCAAAACTTGTTACACATAGCCAATCATGCTTTAGATTTAGTTTTGGTAGAGTCATGATAAGTCGCAAAGCTGAAAGTGCAAAACCGTTCGCAAGGAGAGAAGATATGCTTACCGATAACGGACAGAAAAAGCAGCTAAAGCATCTGCTAGCTCGAAAGGAGAATCTTCATGAATCGCATGTCCACTTTTGGGCATCATGACAGTTTGAAACTTCCCTTGCATTTGTCCAATCTATTTGGTAGTTTGAAAACTTTTTAAACTTTTCGAGGTACCATAAGAGTTTTATCGAGGCGATCAACACCTGCAAGCACCAGTAACTTCGAAGCTTTATTGTTAAGAAAAGCTTCTGAGAGTCCAGTAAACCACTCGCGCCAATATGGTTCACTCTTTCTTAGATCGATTCTCCATGTGAACTGGAATATCAACTACGTTTCATTTGTATAAGAATGTATATACTCTGTTATTTTCTGTTTTCTTTAGCTGATGAGGCATGGATAATCTAGCAGAAGTTTTGTTAGATGTCACCGAATGAGCCAAACACCTGAAAACGGAACAATTACAGTTTTCAGGAAGCATCAACTACCATCGAATAGCTTCTTCTTCTGAGCTGAAGTACTCTGGTCTGTTGTTCAATACAGTATTCTAAAAAACACCTCAGAATAGTTTCTGAAAGATAAGTACCATTGAAACTAGGGCATCTAAAGCTGTTCCTTCTACGACATCCAGTACAACAAGAGCTATAGAGTTGGGCACTAGCTCCGATTGAACAACCCGTACAGCCATTGCTCCTCCCATGCTAGAAAGAATTGAAACTTTTGCTTCAAAGCTCTAAAACCTGTGTCCCACAACACATACAGGTGGGTTTTCTTCAACATCGTTTTGAGCTTTGTAATAAGAATTGAAAACATTTGCAATATCTCTGAAACGATCTGCTCTGTAGAAGAGAGATGGTCAAACTTACTGTACTAAAGTGTCTCTGGACAATTGGTTGCTGTCTGCGCAGATTGTCTCACCATGCCCTCTCAAATCGGGCGCAAATATGCGACAATCAATTAATTTACTCATATTCTTCTGGAACCATATTTGTAGGAACTTTCAACTTTCTCGAGATACAATTAATGGGCCAAACGTAACGCCGGAGTATCCACCTCCATGTAAAAACAAATAAATAGGGCCTGTTTTGCCTATAAAAACAGTTTTTTTCAAAACCAGTAAGTCATGATAGAATAACCTTTGGTATAAACATTAAAGCTATCACCATTTATGGATATACTTTGCTTTTCATCGAAAAAATCTTGCCAACTGAGAGGACTATAGTCTTGCGAGCCAGTCAGTTTCCTGAACATGTTTGGTAACTGAATAAACAATCTTCAATGTAAACCTTGGTGGACAAGGAAGGGTCCTAGCTGCTATCTCCTGTCTCAGTGACATCTAATCTAAATTTGGTATCATGAGACAGAGTGACCGAACAGAAGAGAAACATGCTCTATTCATAAGTCATTTGGCGCGAAGATTTAAAATGCGCAGCCTCATTGGAAAGACTTATTCAACTCAGATGATGATGCTGATTTGAGTAAATGGAAGGTAAACGAATGATTAGACATTTGTGAAATGAAAGAAAACATTTGTATTAGTATTTATTCGTATTCTTTATATAACTTTTTAACAATTTCGACCCATAATGTTTGCCATCGCTTTGTGAATATGCCATCGTTCAATGATTGTTTCTTTATTCTGAAATTTAGAGATGTCGTTCGATTACATAATCAAGCCTATTAATGATAGAGAGGTCATTCAAAAAAACTTTGTTCGCCTTGGTGAAAGAGCAAATAATTACAGTGGACGTCATCCTTCGTTGAACGAAAGATTCTCTATACTTGGTTTGTAACATGCTTTCTTCAATTGTATTTTACACTTTTGCAGAGAGAGGATATTATCTAGCCCCCAAATTGAAGGAGGAGCAGTACCGAAACGACGTCGTTACAGTACAAGTACAACCCAAGGAATCTACTTCAGCTTTTGTTCAAAAACTCAAAGATAAAGCTAATGCTAAAGTTCCAGTAAGTCACTAAGCTGTTCTCATTTGAGTAATATCTTATAGGGAAGCCCAAGCCCATGTTTTAGTCCCCCAAAGTCTGCAGAATCCGTTTCACCTTGAAGTTTTAAATTGATAATGCATTAAAATAACACACCGTATTACATTCGAATAAACGGGTTATTCTTAGTTAGTTTCGCTTTCTTCTTTGGCTTACGGATTGAACAAACGCCTCCTTGACCAGTTAACAGAGCATTAGCAAAGCTTTCTCCGTAATAGACTGGAAAAAAAACTGTCGAACAGTATTAGAGTTCCACTTGCCAAGTATTTCTTCTTCTTTCTCGATTGGTCTGAATACTCGATAGTACACACATCCCAAGTATTGGAAAGCAATAACGTTTTGTTCAGCTTCATCTGAATTCGGAAAATAAAGATTCATGGCTTTTGTTCGGCTTACGCATGCTGTGATTGATGTATCTCATCCAATTAGAACAATTTTCGTCACTTCCGTCGATATAACAGTGTTGCGTCTTCATGGAAAATCAGGAAGGAATGCATCAAGCAAATACCTTTGTAGTTAACTCCCAGCAATATCCGTCCGAAGTGGCATCTTTAGGATCTTTGATTAATCGACCCTTATATGGCCCAAACACGATTCCCCTCTGAATGACCGTAATTAATAATCCTCAGGTTAACCCTATTACAGGTATAGCCGAAGTTGCGAAAACTCCCAAACCAGCGTTCGGAATTTTTGACGGGTTAATCTTTACGAAACTTGGACTTGTTTGTGGAGCAACTGATTTGTGCTTATCCTAAAAAAGTTTTGTATTGAACTGATGTATAGCGGATATACCTTAGGGGATCGATCAGAAACTAAGAAGAGAGGATGATCTTTACATGCTCCGCGGAAGAAACGATCGCATATATCACAATCTAGAAGAAAATACTGAGAGAAAGTTCATTTAATATGCAGTTACGTATGTAATTGTCCTCGTCAAAATCAACTTTTTCTTCTAAAATCTCATTTCCTAGTGCTGAATGTTCTTCTTCTGCAACATGAAAATTGGAATATGCAAATGTGATGCATGTTAGGTGGCGCTAAGCTCCATCATTTAACAAGTGAGCATTTCCTAGAGCAGTCGTACAGAACAGAGTCTTCTTCATTCATACCTGTGATTTGCTGGATGAAGGTGAAAGTTGGATTATGTTTCTCCGGAACAATAGCTAATGGAATACTCGACAATACGACAGACATGTTATTATCAATGGCAAGATAGTACTGAAACACTAGTTCCACATAATCTCCATATTCCATTTCACCTTCTCTGCTACTTTCTGGTCTTCGTCATTGTCTTCACTGGGCTCTGGCTCGAAACCCGGAATCACGAATGTGTTCATACCCGCAGAGGTTTAATCTTAAATTTCAGAATTGAGTGAATGTTAGATACTCAGAAGAGAAATTCAATGTGGAAATATATTTCTCAATTATTTCAACACTATATATCTACATAATATGATCATATATACTGGCAGGAAGGATAATAAAAGTAATTCATAGACTATTGATATGTAGAGACTTCCAAATCACACACACGGCTAAACACGTACGTTGTTTTGTTGGTTGGTTGTATAACAATCGCCATTTTAATAATATCCTCATTTCACATCGTTTCTATACTTTTCTTTTTCTCAGGTCTAGATATGGATGAGGCTTCAAAGGCTCGTTTAAAATCTATCCCAACTTGTAAGACCAAGGCCGGCCCCAGAGATGGTGATTTATGGATTCAAAGACTTAAGGTGATTTCATTCATACTCATTTTTGATACTCATACATCTACAATGTTCAGGAGGAGTACGAATCTATCATTCGATTTGTCCAATCCAACAAGGAATCTGACGCAGATTGGTTCAAACTAGAATCGAATGGTGACGGTACTAGATGGTTCGGAAAGTGCTGGCATTTCCATAACATGGTTAAGTAAGTGAAAAGTTTTGTTTGCTCTTCAATATTTTCGTTCAAAGGTATGAGTTCGACGTAGAATTTGAGATCCCAGTTAACTACCCGGTCGTTTCGCCGGAAATAGCTCTACCTGAGTTAGACGGAAAAACTGCTAAGGTATTTCACAGAAAGTTTCTCATGTATCGTAACTGCCCGAGCTTGTTTCTAGATGTACCGCGGTGGAAAAATATGTTTGTCTGACCATTTCAAGCCATTGTGGGCTCGTAATGTTCCCAAATTTGGTATAGCACATGCGTTCTCATTAGGACTCGGGCCATGGTTAGCTGTTGAAATCCCAGACCTTGTTGAGAAAGGCCTTATCGTTGCCAAAGCTTAAGCCGCCAGAAAACGTCTAGTTAAATCTTATTTATTTAAATTTCCATGAACATGTGAATTCGAACAAAGGGGTTGATGGTTGTCAAGTTATAATTAATTCTTAACTATGTGGTTTAATGAGATGAAAATAAGATATTGGGAAAAAAAAGTTTTTTTTTTTCATACGGATTTTCCTTCCTATTCATATATTGACATAAGACTTTAAGCAATCAATCGATAATAGGCTTATTGATTAAATCATTTAGTTTGATTTGACGAATACTTTGTACTCATCACCGACTTACTTGTGAAAGTGAAGAATCTTTTGTGATTGAGTTTGATTAGCTTCTAAATTTCTTTAGTCTTCTACACTTGTCTCAGCTGACGTATGAGCTCCTCAGATTCTTATGTCTTGGATCGGAAGCAGGAGAAGAGGCAAGGAGAAGAGAGAAAGAGAGTGGGGGAGAAAGAATGCTTCTCTCTCACCTCCGACCTCCACCCATGCCGCCCGTGCTTCAATAGCTCAAAAATCAAAGAAAGCACTGAAAGAAATAAAATTTCTTTTTTAATTGAGTTTTACCTCTGTAACTCCAGATTTTTAGTAAAAGTTAGTTGTGATCCTAGAGTCGTTCTTACGAAAGCTTGTTATTGATTGGCCGTGTGATTAGAGAACATGAAATGTCGGATGCTCTACTACTCCGACTCACAAAAAACTTTGCGAACATTGTTTTCTTCATGCAAATCAATATTTATAGCTTATTTTCACCTGTAAATTGTTCTCGAATTACGTTAAGATCTTCAATATTCTTCTTAACAACACGATTACTACCAAAAACCATTGGAATTCATTATTTCCATTATAAGACACTCAATTTCACTTGCCTCGGTTATTTGCTCATGAATTGTCAAGGTGAAGATCGTTCTATTGTTTGTTTTCTTGTTCATGACTGTTTCTTCCAAACCATTTCATTAATGCTGATTATCTTGTTCTTACTTGTCCATCGAGTTATCGCCATTTGAAGGGAGTGTTCAAATTTTTGTTTCGAAAGCAAACACGCCTGACCGCGTTAATTTGGTTTTCCCCTTTCACCAGTGATATCATCATATCGTTGTCAATTTCACTCATGCTGAGAGTATAAAGCACACTGGATATTATCATTTGCTATTCCTGAAGGAATTGCTTATCATTCGAGCGGTTTGTTCTCCCCTCAAACCCAAGTCGAACGAAAATCTCGAGCAAAAGCTTCACTTCCTCTCTCTGTTGGTGAACTTCGTTGCCAAGTCAACGTAAGAACTCTAGCAAGTCTATTTTACTTGAATCTAAATTGTTCCACTATTCCCCATTCGAACATTGTTCGTGTTTCGATCGGCTCGTTTTTGAAAAAGCCATTCATGATTTGAATTACATGGAATTAGAACATTAGCATTCTATATGATAACTCCTTTAACTACGTTTCTCCTGAATTTTTCATGATCGACAAGCTTTTCTCGACTATAAAAGATTCAGGAAGAAATACCTGAGAATATAGAATTGTTTGTCTTTCCTCATATGTTGAGCTTCCTATTCTAAGAACAGATTTTCTGATAGGGTCCCACTAGTGGAATTCTAGCTGTTTTGCTAAAGTATTTCATCCTCACAACGTTTCTCATGAGGAGATCTGTGAATTCTATGAGAGTATTTGGAAGAAATTCCGCTAAACACCCACTTACTCTGATGTTTTCTTCATTTTTTGAAGTCAAGTTCTTTTAATTTTCCACAACGCCTTCATTACTTCGTGTTGGGAGCATTCTGATTCAGTTTGTTGAAGAAGAAGGAATTGGCTTCAAACGGAAACGTTTCTATTCAATCACTTTAGTCTTTAATTCTAAATTAGCTTTGATTCTTGCTAATACGGCTTTGTTCTTTTTGTTTCTTCCTAACACGTGCATCAATTACATTTAATCTCCAAGAAGATACAACATGCTACTCTCATAATAACCCCATCTGTGAATCATGTCTTTTACATCATTCTCTTTACGTTTTCTCCTTCTAATCAATTTCTCTCACAGGCATTGCTCTGGGGTATGCATGAATTGGATAAGGATCCCCCACCTCAAGTTACACCGATAGAAAATGTTGTTCCACTACCAGTTGATTCATCCAATGACTTGACAACTACCATCACTGATGTTTCCAATGATTTGACCAACACTACCACTGATACATCAAATGATGAATCTGTGAAAGCGGAAGAATCAACTGATAATTCTGTGAAGACTTCAATCGAAGGTATGAAACGTGTTATTGCTGATTGAAAATCGTTTTTCGACTTTACAGTTCAAAATGTGGAGGTTGTGGAACCTGAAAATGAGCCCAACGCAGAAATAAATAGCTCTCCGATTTCTTCCAAAGCTGAAGAAAATGATGATTCTTCGGAGAAGGGTTCAACAAAGAAAGAAAACTCTGCTGCTCATGTATACTATAACTATGTCGGAATTCAATACCAACCGAAACGTTTTATAGCCTGCCAGATCCCGGCAATTAGTGCGTGGTCTTGCTCTTTGCGGGGACGACGACACGAAACTGAGTAAGCCTCCTCCAGCAACTCTACAAAAGCTCTCCGATTCGCAGAGCAAAGGTGACCCTACCTTTCCCTTCATTCATTTTCGGATATCTTTAGACTCTTCCGTCACAGATGGAGATTGTGGAGGAGACCTTAAGGCTTTCTTAGCTAACACTCTTCATAAAAATCCAAGAGATCGAAAAACCATTTTGAACTTGGAGAAAGAGCTAAGAGAATTTATAGAGTGTTCGAAGTAATTCAATTATAACTCGCAAAATGCATATGATCTCTTTCAGCGAAAGAGCTTATAAATTTCCTCCCATGTCCTCTTACAACCGAATGCTTTTACATCGCATCGCTGCTGTGTTCGGTTTGGACCATAATGTAGATAACAGTGGTAAATGTATAGTGGTGAACAAAACGGCCAAAACTTCAATGCAAGTTTATTTCCAACTTACATTTGAACTTTTTCATGTTTAGACCTGATTTCAACTTTTCAAGTTTTATAACTCATAACTTCTATAGTGATACTAAACAAAGGAGTTTTGAAAACCCAAACGAGGTACAAACGCTACCGGCTTGCTCGACAAACTTTTTCGTTTCAGGTTCCGGGAATGAACTATCTTGGATATGATGTGTACTTGCGCAGAGCTCTATCATACGACACTCCTAACTATGTTCCTAGTGCAGGTAGTTGGGTACAACAACCCAGCAATCACTCCACAGAAGCGATCCCTACTGAAATTGATGGATGGGGAGACCGTACCCTTTGTATGAAAGTAACCAAAAGCCGGATATTCTCAAGTTTTATAGTAATGATTTAGAAAGCAGAAAGCTTTGGAGGAGTATCCACCTATGCTTACCAGGGATCTGTAGACTCTTTAGCACCATCTGTGCGATATCCTTCAAATGGATCAGGAACTCAGAATTCTCAAGCCGATCCTTCTGAAGAATTGGTAGAAAACTTGGGCGCGACTCAGTTAGACATGATGAACTTGTCACCAAGATATCAGAGAACATCTGCTCCTCCCCAGATCAGAGAAGCCACGTAATAGTTGGAGGAATTTTTCTAGTTTACTTTCCTTTCTTTCAGTTATGATGTTCCTTATCATCAGCGAGTTTACGTACCTACACCTGTCGTTCCGCCTAATCAAATATACCAAGCCGTTCCGAACAATATGCCACTGAATCTGGCTGTTCATCGAATCCAACATCCAGCACAGATGCGTTTTAACCAATGGGTGATGAGTTTCAAAAGAAATATTGTATAACAGCCCTGATTTGTAGAATGCGATTCCATACATGATACCACGTCAGTACGTGGAAAGTGTGGATTTGCATCCTATGCAATCGCAATACACTCATGGTGATTGAAACCCGCAATAAACATTTTATCATTGTTTTGCAGGACCTGGGGGACTCCTACTACAAAGACCAATGCCCAACCCCTATTACCAAGCGCCACATGCAGTACAATCCCATCCACCGGCATACGATTCAAGGAGCTTTGTAAATATGCCAATCAGTAGCTCTAGAAGTCAACAAGGTTTGGTAGCAAGTGTAGATGGAGGCTATGGAAGCATGACTCAGGAGAGTTGTAGAGATTCTCAAATAACTCAAGATTGAGGAGTAAGCTCATGAGACTTGAGCTGCGTAAGCTTTCGCTGTATGTTCATCAAATGCTTTTTAATTACTCAATTACTAGGTGATTGTTCTTGCGCAATCTATTACGAGGTTCTCTTGAGTTAACTGTTTCCCTAATCCCCATGATGTACAAAATTTCTTTTCGAATTCGTAGATACCTCATATTAACCTTTAAAGCTTCTAGCTCTTATCCTGCTCAGGAAATTAAGGCAAGCGCAAGAATCGCTTTGCTTTGTAGTCCAAGCTAGTCTCTGACTTTAGTCAAAAATTACAGATATATTGAGAGATTCATTAGTTTAGAACTAAAATATCAGTTGTAAGAGTTTAACGCAGAAGATGCTCAGCCTGGGTCGCCTTATGTATAATCCCTTTTCGAACCATTCACTTCGACGTATAATCTATGATGTTAATCATCATTAGCGACATAATAAGTACAACACTATAATAATAATAATAATAAATAATATAAAAATTCAAATTCAAATAGAGATGAGCTATGAGCTATGGAGCACTTTTTATGATTTGACCATGTTTGCGCATCTTCGGCTCTTTATTACCCATCCTCTTAACTTATGAGAATATGCCTCGTTAATTTGTTTAATCAAGAAGCTTCTTATGCTTATTATCAGACTTGTACAGGTACTGGTTAGAATATCACGCAGGTTGTCGTGTTTCGTATAAGTCATTATACCTGTCCTTTAATCCGGTACTGAAATATAGTTGATTTGCTTAAAGTTTTATAAAGATTTCTATTCTTCGTTTTATTTCTGTTGACTCTGGTTTTCTGAACCTTTACAGTTATTTTTTTATAATAATGAACAATAAAATACAATGATGCTTCAGTTTATATAAAATGGCTTCGAGGTATGTTGCTCGATTCATCAATAGGAACCCTCGCAACATGGAAATGATGGGTAAACAAATAAAACCTACTGGATATCAGTTTGAAGCAGATAGAGAGAAGAGATCTTTCATTTATAGGTTGACTCGAAAGAAGTATTTTATAAGTTTTATGTTTTTAGAGTCGATTTGATTCAAACAAAGTCACACCAGGAAGCTAAATTGACTCACTACATCAATGGGGTTGTTATAACCGCTTCAACTAAAGAGCCAGCGATCAGCAATCAATTATACAGGTATTCATCCTTCTAAGGCCTCATTAGCATAAAATACGTCTGAAACGTGAACCGATCATACTCATGTTCATTTTTCATTTTCATTGTTGCATTCGTACTTCCCGGTTGTTCTGTAATTTCTTTCTTTTTTAGCATCATTTCCTTATTATCTGTTTTCAGTAATACAGATACTTGTGCAGCTCTAAATTTGGGCCGAGTTTTAGCTAATCGTTGTCTGCAATCCGGCATTCATTTCGCATTACCAGGATCAACACCCGACATGGTAGAGAGGAGTTCTCATGTATGTGTTATTGTTTATCTCCAATTTCTCATTTATATAATTAGCAAAAAGAATTTTATAAAGCCCTTGCACAGGAAGGCTTAACATTATCCGAGCCTGAAGGAATTGAGCACACATATGAAAACGATAATAGATTAACATGGGAAAGGTTTGTGTGCAAATAACTCTATTTATTGAAATTTACTTCTTGCAGGTATCCCACTAAGCATAACCGTCAGGATAAGCTTGACGAGTTATAGATTCGTATTGTTGAAGTTTGTTGTTAGCTCATTGAATAATTAAATTTTATTATTGTTTCAAAAAACATGTTTACATAACGATCTTATAAGGAACTCAACCCAAAAAAAGAATGACTATATCTTAACATTGTCGCGACGTTAGTCTATCGCTTGAAATATATGCATTCGAGAAATATATATTATAAAGCGTGATCATATGCAGGGTTTAGAAGTAAGGTGTTGATTCAGGAAATCAACACCTTGTTTCATAGAGTCCGGACCTACCCATGTAACGGACCCATTTTATGACATCATGATCAGAATAATTTAATTTCGGTTCGAAAACCTTCAAAAATCGCACCTGGAAAAGTTATTACATTGGTGATCTTCAAGCTAACCTAGAAACTCACCTTGAAACCACTGGGAGCAAATGGTACTTCGAAACTGACACTAACCGGAGGTCTATCCCAACGTTTGCTAGCCTTCAAATGAATTTTTTTCAGAAGATATCAAAGTATGAATGAAACCTGTGCACCGATCGTAAGAACTTCAATTTCAGCAGAAATTTGTAACTCTTTACCTCCTGCTAGACGTTTGATCTGAAGAATTTAATAAGATGTACAGTGAAGCTGTAGAAACGTACTTTCCACACAATAGCGTTCTCTCCAGACTTGTATTTTCCCTTTCCTTTAAGACAAAGAACACTGACATTGCATGTGTTAGGAGGAGTGGGGATCCGGACCTTCAGGAGCCAATGAGATTAAAATGAGCATTTGAAGAAAGACTCACTTCAATTTTTTGCCCTAGCAAATTTGGTTTATAATCGGATTTGAGCACTACCTTGATCTCATAACGAGATTTACTGACTTCTCTAACTAATGGAATTACTCTGAAATTACATGTAAGTGCCAGATCCAGATAAACGTCTTACCTAAACGGTAGTTTGATATCCTGTGTTGTCCTGTATTTGATGAGCTCACACTGACCGTCAGGAGGGACAAAAGAGATAGTTCGTTCAGTTTCGAACCTTCCTAGGCGAACACATTGATGGAACTGTATGTCGTCAATAGCAATCATAACACGTGGTCTGAAATTGGTTAAACTACTATAAAGAAGTCCCTCATAGAATTTTACGGTTTAGTGGGGTCTTCTGAACGAGACCTGCTGCCTGCAGAATTCAACATTGTAATTTTGTCATTTATTCCAAATTTGCACTCAGGCATTCCGGATAAGAAACACTTCATGATTACTTTTCCAGCAACATTAGCAGATAGGACTTGTCCTGGAAGAGAAAAACAATGAATATATGAATGGATAAGTTGGACAAAAAAACCTTGTTGACTCATCAGAAGGTTAACATATTCAACGACATCAATAAATAATTCATTTCTACGATACTTGATTCCCTCTCTTCTCCAACTGATTTGGCCGGTGACCTGTGAATTCAGATATGGATTTTTCAAAACCAAATGATAACCAACTTGACTTGTGATCTGTTGTTGTTCTTCACGAGTAACAGCCCGAACTCCTGACTGTGTTATGTAAGTTTTCAATATTGATGCATCTGTTAATTGGGGGTAACCGAAGTCGACAAGTTCATCCAACAACTCATAAATAAGAACAAAATTAGATCTGACCGAGTCCTAAGAAGAGGGAAGATCATGAGGTATGGTGTATATAGTATTTTCGCTTACTTCTGTTATTTTCCCAAAATAGTCAACCATTGTCACAGACAACTTTTGAAGAACCTCAAAAACAGCAGGAGCATTGGCATCTTTCTTAGTCGCTGCTACTACCCATACTGCTCCGATTTTTTTGTACATAAAAGAGACTCCACCAATAAGGGCAATAGGTGAGCGAACCTGCAGATAGAACAGATTTTATGAGACGCGAGAGATGGAATACCTGTTGTCTAGCATGTATAACATTCACTCGGAAAGCATTGACGGCATCTCTCGTGATATCATCACGAAAAAAACGACAAATCAAGACTTCTCCTTTGTGATTATAAAGAAAAATTCCTCCTATCATGATGCAAATTCAAATCAGAACAGCTTGTCGCACATACTGGAAAAGTAAAAACAAAAATAAAAACAAAACTGAAAGAGTCACAGGTATGGGCATCGCAAAGACGAAGTGATTAGTAATTCAAACGCGAACAACGACAAATTTTATGAAATATATACATATGGAATGAGCAACGATTCCTATTTACAACTCTTTCTGACTTGTATACAGCTAATAATAAGGTTCCCAATTAGAATCATCGGCGGGTGTTAGATTCCCAGTGACTAACAGAAAAATATCTATTATCCACCATACACCTAAGCCACCCAACGTCATCAGCTTGCCCACAGCTATAGCAGAATAGCCTAAACAAAATCGATCGACAGCCACAATTCCAAGAAAAACAGAATACAATAAAGTAGAAAGAAAATAATGACCAGTGTATCTGTAAATGAACATTCTCTAACGATCTCGAAGAAATTCGACAAACTTGATACAAGGCATGACTCGTAAGAATTGTCTATCACCGTAGCATTCAATTGTACAATCCAGGACTCTACAAGTATTATTTATCCACAACACATCTTCAGCTCGATTTCCTCCGAATTTCATACAATAACCAGGTAGGACCTCAAAGAGACATCTCATCAAACTCATTCGGGCATTACACGAACATTGCTTTCATTCATCGAGGCCGGTGCAGGTTCCATAGAATCACATTCGATAAACTCCTCAGGCAGAAAATTGCATGGTATCAATGGACCACCAGCGAAACCATTAGGTTGATAAACACAAGCGGACTGCAATACAAACTTCAGTAACCTCAAAAGGATCTAGCACACCTCTAACGTTATATCAACGGCTGATTCAGCAACCACCAGGAGAACTCCGAAGAATTGAAGAAATTTCAACATATTTTTAACATTCTGAATATTCGAACTACAGAAGGCAGTTTGAAATTGAAGAAGTATGTATGGATATGGAAACTCCACAAAGTCATATCGAACAAGGAATGGATATAATCATTATCACCAACGGCAACAAAAAACAATAAAAATAACGAAATTAAGACCCCGGGTTTAAATAAACTATAAAAATCTGCTTAATACATTCGTTACATTACTTCTTAACAACTTGGATAACATCTTCATGGTCCAACTTGTGATGGATACCTACTCTTTGAGGAGAGAATTTGGTACTTGTTCCCCACACGATAGCATATCTGAAAGAATCCTTTATCTCAGCTAGACAGAACAAACAAACTTGAACTGTGCAGCCAAAGTCCTGTGTAAAGCGTGACAACAGTGTTCAACTGTTGCTCCTTGTCGAAGGATTATACCATCTTCTGGTCCTGAAAAAGAAAGACTGAACAAACGAGTTTTTGCAACACCTTACCAAGGTCGGGAGCATTTCCTGGTTTCTTCGTGTAAACACGAACTAATGCAAGATACTCCCAGATTTTTTCCAGTAAATAATCCATATTTAGATTCATTTCACATGATATCACTATATGATGGGGAAGCCTGAACAACTCATAATGAAATGTGGGAACAGTGTAGCCTACCTAGCCAAACGATCAACCTCTTCGATGGATATTTGATCAACTTTGTTATAAACATAGAGACACGTAAGATAAACTCTTCCACCCACAATCACATCAATAAACTCGTCGACACTGCGAAGGATTCAATTACTAAATACTTCGCTTCATAGAAAACTTACGTGCAATCTTCTCTGAAAACAACATCAGCATTGAAAATTTTATATTCGTGAAGGATGTTCATGATCATTTTCTCGTTGCAATGAGTCAGAGGTACAGTATGAGTGAACTTGACACCTCCCATCTGAAGTTTTAAATGTGAAAGACTGTAAGATTGGCTTATAATTTCAAAGTGTTTCCAAAACTTGCAAAACACTTGTAAACGAGCAAGGAAGCAAGCTTCAAAAAGTGGAAAACAAAAACAAAATCTGATTAAAAACCTTTTTCGGCTTCACATAGATGTGTGGTGGACGTTTGTTCAAACGGATTCCAACAGCCTCAAGTTCCCTCTCTAATAAAGATTTCTGAAGATCGCTTTTACCCGCATCCAACATCATCAGGATTAAGTCAGCAGTTTTGGCAACTGAGATAACTTGACGACCTCTACCTAAAAAACGAAGAACACTTTTAAAAAAGTTCAGATTTGAATTGTTAACCTTTTCCTTGTGAGGCACCCTCGATAATTCCTGGAAGATCGAGCAATTGGATATTAGCTCCCTGATAGTTGATAACTCCTTCAAAACACTGATGTAATTAAAAAAAACTGCTGGTGCATACCAGGAATACAAGTGAGGGTTGTGAATTCATAACTAGCTACTTCGGAGGTAGTGTTGGTCATAGAGGATAATAACGTAGATTTACCGACGGATGGGAATCCAACCTTCAAACACAAGACTTGTAGAAGAAAAAACCTGCAGACCTACCATGGCAACTCTGGCATCTCCACTCTTCATTACATCGAACCCTTCTCCCTTTGCACCTCCCTTACCGGTAGGCTCTAAGAGTTGTTGACGGTATTTGGCAAGTTTGGCCTTAAAATGTAAGATTGATGCTCTCAATAGCAACAGTTCTCATACCTTGAGCAATCCTAAATGGTACTCAGTGGCTTTATTCTTTTGAGTCCGAGCCATTTCGGCCTCAATTTCCTTAATTTTCTCCACGATACCCATGATGCTTGAGGGTTGAGGGTCTAAAAGAGAGATGAATTGGACATTAAGAGGAGAGTTGAAAGTAAGCAATGGTATAGAGACCACGAAAATAGAAGATTTAGAAAAAGCCGCTAAAAATGACTATACATTTAATTCCCGTGAATAATTGAGACCTTGAGTAAATCAAACAACAAACATTATTAATAGCCTGTAAAAAGTGCATGTGTACAACATATGAGTGAACAATTCTTTCCTATAGTTCAACAAATTATATTTCTTGAACTATCTCTTTCTAATTCAGGTTAGATTCAAACAATTTTTCTAGAGATGGTAAAGGAGTATCTACGGGTATATCTGAGAGATCAGGTAAGGATTCAAGAGTTTTGTGGATCTGAATTATCTGAATGAATCAAGGCTGACAAGACGAACAAACCTCTGTTAAATCTGATTTGACTTGATCTTCTTTTCGCTTCACTTCTCTCAAAACAGTTTCTTGATGATCCACAGTAGCACGCACTTGAACAAGCATAGCATCCAAAAGTTTTTGCAAGTTCCTCCTTTCCATCATTTCATCAGCAAGTCTGACAACGCAATGGTATTTAATCATGAAACATCAAGTATAATACCTTTTACAATAATCCCTAGCAAGCGGTTCAGCTTCATCCACATGTCTCATTAAATCTTTCATCTCATCCGCATTTTTAATCGATTCAAGCATAGACGGTGTTCCTACTGCTTCTGGATAGCATGCTAACTTTCCCCTGAAATCGACAGGGTGTAAGAGTTTCTACGTACAGTCACACCTAATATTTTCGTCCAAACTAGCAGGATTCTTCATTAAATGCAACGATTCTATAAGTTCTTCGACTGTTTTCGTAACCACTTCAGGATCATAGAGCGTAGGCTAAAAATTAAACAGTAATGGAATTTTCTTAAAGCTTAAAGTACTGGATCTACTGTTACTGTATTTTGACTAGTGGATTGGACGTGAGAATGTTTCTTTCCATGCGCGGCATTTTCTAACCTTCAATGATAGACTTTGATTATGAATGAATAAACTTCACAAACTTTGATAACTGTTCTAAACTATAAATCTGTCGATCCGTAAAGACTTTTAATACTTTCTGCACAGCCCTCTCCAGCTCAGTCGCTTGAATTCTCGAACAGTATCTAACAATAACTGTTATACAAAAGAAAGAAATGCACTCAAACTTGAAAGCGGGTTCCAGAACGTGGAAGAACTTCCCCATAAACTCTGGAGCCTTTTTACGGGAATTCTGGATGACATCATTGGCAAGATATATTAGATTAACTAGACGGGAGGCGTTGGTTTCCATCTTGATTTCCTTAATTTAAGCCTGCTTACTAGGATTATTCATCAACAAGTACTTTTAACCAGACATGAGTTATCGCATCAGCACTCTTCCTCTGATGATGGAGTAACCATAAAGACAAGGTTTGAATTGATTCTTGCTGACTAGTTAATTTGGCAAGCTTTGCTCGCATTGCAGCTTCAGAAAACCCAGTTCCACTCATTGATGATAAGTTATCTGAATATGTGACAACTTCTACAACATTCTCCGTTCAAATAGGGAAGAACATGTGGATTATATAGAAAATTATAAATAGCTTGAATGTATAAACTATGGAAAATAAAAAAACAGTTTATTAAGGAATTATTTCATTCATGCTCTAACCTAACGCTTCTTTTAGTACATGGCATTGGAGCGCGTTTCACTCCGGCACAGTTGCTGACCACCCCCGTTACCCTGACCTGGCCGAGATGACACTCAAGATTCAATGAATGCTATGATTTTTGATGGAAGAAACATCTTTTTTTAGTTCTTGAAACTTTCCTCAAAACTTTCTTGTGATGATTTCTCAATGATACAAAAGTGAAACCCAGAAAATTGAAATCATCGATGACGAATTTTCATTTCAGAACATCAAAAAATGATTTTTCATGAATCTTTTGTAATGAAAACTTTACAATTTCATTCAAAACCCTCCTCCGCGGAGAAGAACACTGTATAAGTTCCTGGATTGATAAGTTGCTCGTCTTCTTGGTTAACGTAAGTTCTTCTCTTGTAAATTCTCAGCCTCGTCGTTCAATTTAACCTGTTCCTTCTCAACTTCCTAAGCTTTCCAAGTTTATTGTTGAACTTGTTGTTGTTCAAAAAGCATTTCCTTCTTAATAAAGTGTCGAAATAGGTGAAACGTTCAAAAGTTTATTTGTTGCAACTAGTTTTGATTCCTTATAAAGACTCACAATTCGTCATTTGACAATAAACTTCTTCAGACAAAATGTTTCGAGCTGTAGTTCTGTTGGGCTTGGCTGCTGTGTTGCTAGTCAATGCTCGTCCTACAGTACGTTTTCATAATCAGAGAAGATCTTTGAATCTGTTTTCCAGAACATTCCCTGTGGTTTACCTTCATTCGTGGAAAAATTGAATGAAACAAGTGCAAATGAAATCAAAGCTATCTGGAAGGATTATAAGGATGGAGATGACTGTGAAGACCAACAGAACAAAACCTTCAAAGTGATTTCCGGGATCAGCAGACAAGAAATAGATGCTGTTTTCGCTGCTCCAAGTAATTTCTAGTTTGAAGATTTTGAAGGTTTTCTGTTTTTTCAGTAGTCGATGTGTTCGATGATGTTCCAAACTTCATCCGATCTATGTCTATTGAACTACGCAAAGAATTCGATTCAATTTGGATGAACAGAGATATTTCTGAAGACGAAAGAGTAAGTTCATCCTACATTATCCTTTCTGAACAGTTTATAGTTGAACAAACTTGAGAAGTTGGCTTCTACAAAGTTCACAAAGGATCAGAAAGTTGGTTTTGACACTTGGACTTCTCAGGTTCGATAATCACCAAATGTTTGGATAGAAACGTCTTTCTTCAGTTGAAAGACGCTCGTAAAGAAATTGAAGATAAGATGAACAATCTGTCGAAGGAAGCCAAGGAAATCTTGAACGAGCTAACAAAGGTTGGTTCAAACACTTGCTTAACATTCATAATTTCTGTCATATAAGGTTCGTAATGAGGAAAAGAAGATTATTAGCCGAATTACGCCTGAAATAGGAAAGGAACTTCATGGACTCATTTGAAAGTCATTGATAATGTAAAAAATAATAATATATTTACCATAAATTCTTATAAAAGTTCATGTGTTGGTTGAATAGTTTGCAATTGGAATCCATAACGAGCTGACAAATGTCGTTTTGATCTTCCGAAAAAGGAAGAAGTCAAATAGTACACAGGATATGAATAATATTTTCTGTATTTCATTTGAGTGAGCCCTATATAAAGGATGCGATAAATCTTCTTGTTATTGATGAGAAGGTTAAGCCTTTTGTTACTCTTATTCATAAACACATAAAAACCTTTAAAATTCAAAAAATAATGTTTTATAAAAGAAAAGAATATTTTGAAATGCGCCAGGCATCAGCTTCATCATTGAACCTTTGGGGTGTATTAAGGAGGCCACTTATACGTGGATATGCTAATGAAGCTCGCGACGTTTCCCACGTTTTTTTACGTGGCTCATCATAAATTCATTGAAGCCATAGAGCTTGTAGTGCGTGGTTGGCATGCCTAAAGAATCTCCGAATTCTAGTGATTCTGAGTTTGATGAATCGAACATCAGGTATTATCATAACTAATCTCATTTAATATTCATGAAATGACTTTTTCTAATTCCTCAGCTATGATGTTGAACGTAGTGAAGGCGGTAGAGATTCTGCACCAAAAGATTGTTTGTGTCTATCATCAGCTGTAACTAAAATACATTTGTTAATAACTAATGAAATAAGCTTGTTTTTAGGGTTGTGTAGTACTTTGGGCTTTTGTAGCTATTGCTTTAACAATGACACGATTTGTATTGATTGGAGGAATAGAGAAAGCTCCAATACGAGATATTGTCCTATGTGTTGCATCGGTAATTCTTTTCTTTTTATTTTAGTCATCTACTCAGTCTCACTCTCCATATCTATCATTTTCTGCTTTGCACCTCTTGCACTCATTTTCATTTGCTCCAAAAACAATTTTCAGATTGGAATATCATTCGTGTACATAATTGGATCGATATCCAAAAGTCGTAGTTTGTATTTTTACGGTTTGGTCTTGGCTGTAAGAGCAATATACGTTTAAATTTTAAAAAAGTTATTTATATTCAGTTCTTGCACTTCCTGTATGATGCCTTGTATGTTTTTGCCTATGCTTCACTATATTTCAAAGGAAAACGTATAATTTGCATATTATATAAAGAAACTATAGTTATATATATTTTAAGAGCCAAACTTCATACTTCTATCTGTCTTTATAATGTCTATGCTAGGTGATCATTCAGATTTTTTTTCAATTTTTAAAGGTTTCAAAATATTGTTTTAGTCCACATATTCATCGGCGCCCTCTTCATTCGAGCTCGAAGACGATAAATTGTTGAGAAGTATCAATTTATTTTTTTTTTCCTTTTTTTGTATTTTGCTTCGTCAAATAAGTGTTAAAGCATCAAGTATGGATGTTGATTATTAAAAAAGAAAAAACGAAATGTACAATAAACTGTTCAAAGAATTGGATTTTCCAAATCAAAGAAATGAAATGGCAGATAGACAACGAATACAAAATGCAATTCAATGACATCAGCATTCTTCATTATATATAATAGTAAGAAGAAGAAGAAAAAGAAGAAGAAGAAGAAAAAAATCTAAATAGGATCTGATTTTTTCATCTTTTTTTTTTGTTTTCTTATCACAGGTTAAAACTACCAGAAGTTTGCCTCCCCCTTTCCCTTTACATTTAAAGGATTATATATAATATTTACAAAATGAGGTAAACTATATTAATATAATTATTATAATGTTATCGCATATTCTTGAAATTTATATAAATTTTTAGGAAAACAAGAAAACCCTCTCTTCCCTTTTTTTTCATTTAGCTCTGTGTTATATTGCCATCTAAGATGCGAACCTGCAGTTCCAATATCAGTCTGACTGGCAGTTAAGTCTTTCTCTCTCCCATGCTCTTTCTCTCTTTCCCTCTCTCTCTCTCTTCCAGGATTTCAGTTAGAAAACGGAAACAGTTGGAATGGAAATGATGGAAAGAAAAACAATGAAAAATCAAACAAAACTGTACATAAAAGGATTATAGTTAGTATTAAGAAGAAGATGAAGAAGTAAAAGAATCAGAGTAGAAGAGATTATTCTTTGTCTTTATCTTTCTCCTTCTCCATCCGTTCCTGAAGAGTATGCCATTGGACAACCGGTCTTCTGGATGTCATCATTTCAGCCCATTGTTCATGACAAGCATGAGTAACCTATACATTAGCATAATTAGATATAAGCTTTAAAGATATTGATATGCATACCTGTGTTAAGCTGGACAATTCAACTGAAGCTAATGTAACCTGCAAATAGGAATCATTGAGTTCAATGAAACAAGTTGGTTGTCAATCATACCTCGCCAATAAAATCATTTTTACTCATTTTATCATAATCCCATACAGAAATTAATATATGAATTCTCTGGAACAATAATATATCATTTGATTTATGGAAAGGCATAACGGGCTTACATCCATCATGGAAGGTTCAATCTTGAATTGAAAGCTTTCGTTGTAATAAGGATTCAAAGTTTTATATTTTCTCGATGTTTTCTTTTTACTCAACAACTTCCTTCCATGGTACAAGTAGATTTTGACATATGGATCTGAAATGACATTGGTATTGTAAGGGGATGGAAGTAGAAACACAAAAAGTTTGTTTTAACCTCTTTGACACCTCATGCCATCCTTCCCCATCTCTTTCTCTCTCTCTTACATTCTTTGTCTACCTCTCGCTCTACCGGAAGAAAACATCAGATGCTTCAATAATTCTCTTTTTTTGCAATAAATATTTAAACATATTTTTTAATATTACAGTAGTTTTTATTAATTTGTATTTCTACCCTACTTGGCATCCCCCCTCCTTGTCCCCTCCCTTCTACCTACCCTCATCTTTTCTTTTCATTTTATTTCTGCAAACACGAAGATGAGATATGAAATCAGAGAATTTTACTATTTTTCAGTTATTTTTCTAAAAAAATGAAAAGGGAAGACCCTTCATCTCCAATTATGAAAGTTGTTGCAACCGGTGATCGGAATGTGCGAACTTGGGTTTAAAAAAAGATTTTGTAGTTACTCTCTGATGTCAAACATGAACATACAAAATGTAAATTTGAACATTTTGCTGTTTCAAATGTAATTGGTGGATGGCAACTGCTGATGATGATGATGATGAAGTCAGATAACTTTTTTATTTCCACAGAAGGAAACCCAGAGGGAGGATATGTCAGCAGACTCACAGGAGGAGAGGGAGTGATAGAGAGGGAGAAAGAGAGGGGGAAGAGTAGGAGATGAACAATATTCTTCCAAAAGATGGTAGTAAAAGATAAGTTAGATGTATTTCTTGTTTAGTCAAAATCATTCAACTGCAAAAGTTCAGAATCTCCCTTCACCCCCACACCCATCAAATCGCTTCTGTTGCTTTCGTCAGTTAAAATAAATATTTTCCTCGACTAGCCCATAATTCATATAACAAAGTATAAACGAAGAAAAGAAAAATTTGTCAAAGAAGAGCTCAGTTTCTATTTATGGCTTAATGCTTTTAGGAAAAGCTTGTTTTTGTAAAATTAATGAAAGCCTCCCTAGATTCTCTATTTTCTGTTGCTGCATCTCCCTGTCCCTAAAGCACACACGCACACACACGCTTATCATCACGTTGTTGTTGTGTGTGAGTGAGTGTGTCTGTGTGCATTTGAGCCGTTATTTTTATTTATTTTTGAATTTCAGATGAAGCTAAATGATATGAACTAACCAGATGTACCACCAAGATCCATTTTCTTCAAATTTCGAGCTTCCATGATAGTGAGTGTGAGTGTGCCGGTAGCTGGACGGTATCGCGTAGAGAAGCAGATATCTCCTAACCGAGATTCCTTCTATAATATATAAACAAATAAATAATAATAATAATAATGATGGAATAATAAACTACTAAATTGGTTATTCAATACGTTTTTACAGCTTCTTCTCAGTTTTCTCTTTCAGCTAATGAGTTTGTTGGTGTTCAATAGCATTAATAAGCATTTACACACTCACACACACACACACACTGAACCCACTATTATATATAATATAATTTTTATTAATTCATTGGCTAAGCGCTTCTCCTTTCCAGACTCTGCTGTCATCATCGCTCTTGTGATGTATGGTTGTGTGTGTGTGTGTATGTGCAAATCCTTTTGTGTTTCGTCTTCTTTTTTTTTGTGTTTCATCTCTCGTCTTGTTAAGCTGCTTCAAACAACGAACGGAGAAAATGATTCTTAATATTCAACGAGATGATGAAAGCAAGACGAAAAGGTCGTTGCTTCTAAACAGCTTAAGGAAAGCTTCATCTTTCGTCTTCTCCTTTTTTGGAGAATCAATAGACACACATGTCCTCTAATGCAATTCGGAAATTAATCAAGCAAAGGATATCCACAACTAACGATATCTCCAATAACTTTCATCAAATATGAAACATGACCAGTGCAAACGACACATGCACACATAGAGTTCGACAGATACATCCTGACATCTACACTCATTTAATAACTGTTTTTCTTTCATCAAAACATAATTAGCAAAGTTCAGTTCTTTCCAAAAAATGCTCTTTCTCCCTCCTCCCCCCTCTCTCTCTCTCTTTGTCTCTCTCTCTCTCTCTATTTCGTATTCTCCTTATTTACAATAATTTGAATAAACACGCGAATTATCGGATGCACGCAACACGCAACTGCGATGACCCCAACATATTCATGAAATTCGGCAGCTTCTCTCTCTCTCTCTCTTTGTATCTCTCTCTCTCTCCTTCTCTCTATAACTTCATTTGGCTCTCTCTTTGCATCATCTTCACAAACAAAAGTCATTTTTTGAACTTTTTAGTTTGTAAATCATTCAATATATTTCCAACGGTTTAGCAAAGCCAAAACACTTGCAAATACTTAAAAATAGAGATTATCTGAGGATAATACCATTTAAGGTCGCTAAGATCGATAGCTGACAAACGTAAAGTACGATTTGAAACAGGAAAAGTGATAATGCCAAAAACAAAATGGAGAAAGTATCAAAAATAAACATTTTTCAAAGATTATCGGAATAAACAGATAATCGTTGCACGTAATGAGGAGTAGCATCAAGCAAGATCGAAGCTATTCATTTCGAATGCAACCAACTACTCTCATTGTAATTTATAAAATGAAAATGGTAATGAACTCACGTCATCGTCATTGTCGGGCTTGCTCAAAGCACGTGTCAGATCTGTTGTTGTACCAAAATCAATGGAATCCAATGGAACAGCTAATTGTCCCATCTTATCATCTTTTGATAATCGATCATAATCATATACAACAAATTGAAGAGTTTTCGATTGTAGCTCATTGAAAGGTATCTGTAAGAGAGAGGTATTGAGGTTAGTAGATGGTTGGTCCCTCTTCATCAATGATCGACTACAGCTTGTTTCCTCGCTTATAGCCCATATATGTACATACGTATCAGAAACACTTACATTGAATAGGAACGTCTCGTTGTATGACGGATTCAGTGTATTCCGAATAATTTTTGTTTCATATTTCTGTTTTCTATCCGGTAATATTGATAATTTGACATAAGGATCAGACATTCCATTGCGATCCATAGCTGGCAGACGACAAGCTTCAACAACAGTCACAGCCAACTACAATTAGATATTTCGTTTTCTTTACATTTTCTTTTTTTTTCTTTTTTCAGAGAATATGTGAGTGGTTTTAATGAACTATCAAAGTCCACGTAGTATGTGACAGAGAAAACAAATCCCTCATGAAGTGAAAAGCTCAAAAATTATTTTTTTGTGTATGTATGTGTGTGTGTGTCAACGATAGGAACTTCTTTTTCTCGTCTTGGGTATCGCTTCCCGTTGCCCCCCCTCTCCAACCCTCTGCCTCTCCTTTTCCTCCTCCTCGTGGCTCTGCTCCCTTGGCCCCTTCTCAATCAAGCAAAAAAGTGAGTGGAAAAAAAAATGTGAAAAGAGAAGATGAAGACGATGAAGAAGGAAGGAAAGAAGTTATTGGAAGTATTAAAGAAAAATAAAAGTAAAAGAAGCCTCTCTGCCTGTCGTCTCTCTCTCCTATCAATCGCCCTTTTCTTTCATATTTTTCCAGAGGAAATGAAGATTATGCGAAATATTTTATTAACCAGAAATCCCATCGTTTAATCTTTTGTCTATCAGATTAACAACAACATACGATTATTTCAAATCTCAACTCAAGAAAAAGAAGAGAAAAAGAACAAAAACGTCATTTTCCCTTCCAGCTTCATCTCATCGTCTTTCCCTTGTCCCTCTCTCTCTCTCTCTCTCTCTCTCTCTCTCTCTCTTCAGATCTTTTAACTTCCATAAAGATGCCGTTTTATTGGAGAAGGAACATCACTTGATCATGTTTTTTTTTTCCCCCAATATTCCATTTATCTTTGCAGTTTCCATGTCGATTCAGTAGAGTAAGATCCTTGCTTCCTCATTCTGCAACATCTAACATCAAATCCTCCCCCCCCCCTCATCATCCCAATACCCAGACCCTATCTTTAGTTTCTTATCCTTCGAACCCTATCCCTCATCATCCCCTATTCCATATATGCCCTTCTGACTAGAGCGTCATCATTCACACATTTCCTTTTAAATTGTTCGTTTCTTTTCGTTCTTCTTCCTTACATAACAACTTCTCAACTTCGTCTTTGTTTTTTTTGAGGAAGAAAAATAAAAAATAAAAGACTTCGTTGCTGTTCTTCGATGATGATAACGTGTCTCATCAGTATTGCAAAAGAAGTAGAAGACGAAGTAGAAGTAGAAGAAGAAAGCAAAGAGGAAAAGAAACTTGATGACAACGAACACAAAATCTAACACAAAATGACAAAATACGGCGTCTAGAAGTGTGTTGACAAGGAAACACACGAGGTAAGCACCAGAGGAGGCGGACAAGAGGTGAATGGCCTCAGGCCTTGAACCCAACAAAAATATGGAGAAACATTGAAATTAATCTGCTATTGTTGTATGATAAACATGAAAAACATTTCAATTTTCTCACCACGAGAACGCCATTATTCATTTCAATTAAAGGAAATTAAATTTAATCTTTCCAAACGGTTGATTCATTTTCTTAATCGAAATACCTCCTCCACATGGTCTATCCCCCCTCTCTCTCTCACCCCTTCCACCAGTTGCATGGTAAAAAGAAATTGCCGCTCATTTCATGCCAAAGTTCTTTAATAGTTCATACTAAATATGATTAATAAATGAAAAGACACGGACGTCATGAATGGATTTCCCATGAATGATCCTTCTCCTACTCGTTATATTCTCATGCTCTCATGCTCTCTTTCTCTGTTTATCTCCTTCTTCATCTCTCTGATTCTATCTTTTCATCGGCTCAAACTACAATGGTCATCCAACAAGCAGACAGAAACAGATATACATACGATTGAAAGAAGAAGAAGAAGAAGAAGAAGAAAGATGAAAACGAAAAGCTTGGATTGAAACTCTCGTTTCCTCGGTGATTAAGTTCTTTCCAATCAAAATTTGTTCATTACAAGAACAACAACAACTAGGAGGATGAAAGAGAAAGAAGAAAGAGAAAGAATATAAAAAAAAAGAAGAAAACTTGCCTTGCTCTGAGCAAAGTCATAGTCCAGCCGAAATGTGATGTCTCCGTAATTGAAAGGTGCTTCTAGATCTTCAGCCTACAATTGCATGATTACCTGTGAGTAGTAAAACGATAATTCCAATGTGTATGTCTATGTTTTACTCCCCCCCTCTTCTCATCTTTGAACATGTTCGAAGTTCTTTGAAGAAAAATGTAGAAAAATTGATTTTCATTCAAAGCATCAGCCCCGTTCATCTACCTCGTGGATAGCTGACGGATGATTGGTAGCTTTCGCGCGTGCCTTTTCCTTATTTGAAAAGGAAAAAAGCAATTTGGATCAGAAGAAAGGAGGAAAGCCAAAAAAAAAGAAAGAAAAACGAAAGTATTACGAAGGATCATAATGAAGAGATGAAGTTAATGGGCAAAAGATAAAAGTACTTACTTTCGGTTGGACAGAGATCGTCTTGGCTGAAAATTGAGGTAGTCCCAGTGGGCTAATAGTTTTTGCCGTATGCACATGCCCATTCTGATACTGAAAACAACAATTTTAATGAAAAATTTATGAAAACATTTATAATGATTATCTCAACAATATGTTTTTCCGAACACTGAAAGCAGTTTTTTTAAGAGAGAGAGAGGGAGAGAGAGAGAGAGTGGAAGGTTTAGAAAGAGAGGGAGTGAGCAGAAGGCTACAGGATATAGGCTCAAGTGAAGAATGTTAAAGCTAATCTGATTAGAGCGTTATTCCAATCTTCACTCTCATCTGTTATCATACCAAGTCGTTGAGCAAATCTTGCTGTCTTGGAGTATTTTCGACCAATCCCTTCTTCAGCTTTTTTTTTCAAATACTTCACATAATGCAATGAGCATATTACGAGAGAATACTTTCTCTTTTTTTTCCCTCTCTACTACTTATTTGCTAATGAGGACAGAACACAACAAATGTTTGACAGTAAAGCCAGTAAGCACTTCTTTCCAGTTTAATCTGCACATTCGACAGTGAGAGTACCTCTACTCTCTCTCTATCTATCTTTCTCTTTCTTTCTCTTTACATCTCATCCATCTTCCATTCTTGTCGTTAAACTCGGAAAAAAAACAACAAAGTCCATGAAAAGGTTTCTCTGTTCGGTGTTATTGAGATGAACTGACATCCAGATGCTTCTCCCCTTTCCAACCTGTCATGTAGTCATAATTGCAATAAACTTTTCCAATGGATGTTGCTCAGTAAGTTCAGATGTCCTATGCATCTTTTAAAAAACATCCAATCCGATCAAGCATGATGTTCAAATGTACTTGCTTCTTTTGGAAAATTTAGAAAATTCGCATAAAACATTAGCAATCATGCCCAAATATGAACAACGTGTATTAAATTTCTGTCATAATTCATGTGTCGGAACACGTTGGGGTAATCTAAGGATGTAATTTTTTGAAAATCCTTTTAGACCACCATTTTCGCTCAACAGATGCAAAAAAGAATAAAAGAGAGATATAGAGAGAGCAAGTAAGAGAGAGAGAGAATGCCATGGAGGGAATACGAGAGAGAAATGGGAGGGAGTGCGTCAAAAGAAAGAATAATAAATAAGTGGCTTCTAGCAAGATTGAACCTTACGATATTCTTTTTTTCTTTACTTCTTACATCACGAATCCGAAAAGAGAGCCTAAATGGCCATAGCTCACCCAGTTGTCTTAATTAGTCATTAGAAGACAACAATTATGATTGCAAATGTACTTTGCACTCATCTTTCTCCCATAACTACTCATAAAAGACATGGAAGAACAAATTCCATAAAATACTAACTGAAACGATGAGATATTACTCTTCAAGCAGTCATAACTGAAATTGGTCACAAAAGTAATGATCGCTTGAATAGATTTTCATAGCTACCATGTTATGAAGTCAATTCATTCTCTTTCTCTCACTCCCTTCCTCTCCCCTCCACTCTTCCTCATCTTCAATAGTATACAAGAAGATAAGCCAATTGACACCATATTTGGCCATACAACAGAAGACGAAAAAATACTTTCAAAAAAAAAAAAGAAAAAATATATAAAAATCAACAAAGAACAATCAAAGTTAAATATATGAGACAGACAGCTGATTGATTCAGACAATTACGAAGCCTTTGCAGAGCCAAAGAAAAATATTTTTTATGGAAACAATGTCTTTGAAGTGAAAAATCACGTGTGATTGCTCTTTGAGAAGAATAAAATGAGTCCAAATTAGGAGATAAATTCAGTTAAGAGTTTGGCAATCATCAATACACATGAGCATGACGATTTTCGTGAAGACAAATATGTCATCAAGAGAGATGGACAAGCAACTTCACACAAAACAGCAAAGAACTAAGAATTAAGAGGAGAGAGAGATAGAGAGATAGAGAGAGAGAGAGAGAGAGAGGGATAGAATCAAAGAGAGAGAAATCCTTCTTTGACAGGAAAATGGTGATGGAGGAAGAGAATGGGGCAGATAGAGAGAGAAAACAATTTCTTTTCCAGAATCTTCATATTTTCTCTGACAAATCTGTGTTAAACCTTTCATTAACAATAATATTTTCTTTTTTTTTCTTGCTCCTCATCATCATGTTTATGTTTCTATGTTTACGAATTTTTTATAATAAAAAAAAAAGAAAATAAAAATATAAAGCGAAAGTGATGAATGACACAAAAAACACATATAGGGCTTCTGCTTCTCATGAAAGGTGATTGATATGCATCAATTCAAAAATTCAAAAAGTGTTGTCAACTGACGAAATCCTATCACGGAACATCAACTAGCTGATGAAATGCAGAGAATGAAGTAATAAAAAAGAATGAGCTGAAGCGATGACGAAAGACGATGAGCGTAAATGCAACCGTTCTGAACGTCTATGAGCTGTATATGCGTAAGAGTCCTTCTTTATTGCAGGGTTTACATAAATTTATTCTTTGAATTTTCAAAAAAAAAAAAACGTGACGAAATGTATCTCTATCATTCATTTTCTCATTTGGTTGTCAAGCAAGCCCTCCATGAAAGAAGCTCCATCAACTACCAAGCATAGTTGACATTTCCATCGTTTTTGAAAAGGAATTTTGAAGCTGCTCCTCCAAATTACAATTATTTTTCCTTCTCTTTTTATTTTTTTTTCATATTCTTTTCTTATCCATCACCGATTCAGAAAGGAAAGATTGAACATCATCATTTGAATGACTAACAGGAAATGAACCGACTTAGTTGTGAGGAGGAGAGCATATTTCGAGAGAAGACACATGAGCTGAAAAACCCAGGAAATTTTTACAGAATTTCGGTGTCTCATCAACTATGTTGTGCAAAAACATATCTTTTTGTTTCTAAAGCAAGCTATTCATTAGAAATGCAACATCTGAAGAAATAGGCCAATTGCCATTTTAAGCTAGACAATAGGCTCTGAGACGACTTGGATGAAATGTGAGGATCAGGTTTAGCCATGAGCATGACAGCTATGATGCCGTTTATCCAAGAGGAAGATGATTAAAGAAATGCAATCATGAGATTAATTTTTCGGCCTAATCCTCCAAAACTCTTGTTATTGATTTCGAAGACGAATGAACATAAACTTCTAAAGGTAGTCAAAAGCAGCAGCTAACTGGATATCAAAGACTCCATTGCAAAAAAAAAGTCCTTGTCATAATGCAAAAAAATGAAAAGAAAAATATGAATTCATAACAAACTGTGTAGCTCGTATTTATACGAGAAGCATACTATGTCTCGCCATATACAAATATCGAAAACTACCCGCATAGATTACGACAAAACGGGAATGACCATGCAAAATGTCTTCAAAACTTGCTCCCATTCGGAAAAAATAATTTTTTCTACCAAATATGGAAAGTGAGGGAAAATGACATATTGAGATGACAAGTCATTTGAGACGAAGAATTCGCATTAATTAGAGAAAATTGGGGGTCCAAGACAAGACTTGATAATGAGAGTTCAGGTCTAGAGCCACTTGGCTTAATATGGCTTGGTCGGTGAAGCTTTCCGCTATTCCATTTCAACACAAATTTGCTTTCTCTCTAATTCTCTTTGTCTTTTAAACGGAATGGACATTGAAATTCCATAACACAAGTCTATTACAAACGAAATGAGTGCTGTGAAGTATATTATTCGATTGGTTGTTGAAGGGAGCGATAAGAAACAAGCGAATTCGATTATACAGAGTATGTTTCAGACCGTCCCAGGAGGACCAAGGGAGAAAGAGATTCAAAAACGAAGTACATTGATTTAAATGACGATGAATACAAGAGAATAATCTGAATCTTCGCATTTAAAATGGAATGAACAATCATCTTCTACATGATCTGGCAAATGTTCTCATAAGCTACATGGTTGGTGGGAATTCGGACAACGAATATCAAATAATGCGAAACAAATCCACAATATACTTTTAAAAAACTCAAACTTACTTTATGTGTTGCGTTGGCTCGTCGTAATGGACAGCAAGTTGAAAAAATTCGGTAAATTGGAGAGCACACGATTGTGCCTGTTGCCCACATGTCTTTTTAATTTCTTATCACAAACTGTCGTGAACGCTGGCTCGAGGCCCATTCACCTGATCTGAACTACATTCATAAAAAAAAGATATAATAATATTTTACAAAAATGTTTAGGGACAAACAAGATTCTGCATGAGATCTAATGCTTTCTACTTCAGATACTATGAAAGGGGAGGTCTCTGGGGCGTGGTTTAGCATTTTTGCCGTTTATTGGTCCCGAGACGAAAATCCTGTTTCCAATTTCTACAGTAATTCAGTTCACACTAGCATAGCATCGATGGATATAATTTTTTCTGATTTTAAATAGTTGATTCGGTGCTTTAGATTGTGGATTTATCTTTAAAAGGTTATGAAATCACTACTTTAGCTTATCGTTCAACAAAATATCCGTTTTCTCCGTTTTAAAATTGGTTTTGATGGCTTTGTATTGACTTTGTCAAGTTTCTAGTCCTCTTCGCATAACTCGGTTTACCTTATTTCTTCCTTTTTCCATTCTTATGATTTTTATCACTTTTCTTATGATTTATTAATTTTTTCTTGTGAAGAAGGTACTCAAAATGGGCTTCGCTCAACAGTGGTTCTCCCATCCTCGCAAATTCGGACCTGGATCCCGTTCCTGGTACGTTTAAGAAAGTTACTTTGTTTTATTTATAGTTATTGTTCTGATTTAATATTAATATTAATATTTTTAGCCGTGTCTGTTCCGGACACCACGGTCTTATCCGTAAATACGGACTCGACATGTGCCGTAGATGCTTCCGCGAGTACGCCAAGGACATCGGATTCAAGAAGGTGAGATTTATTTATTTTTGAAATTTCAATTTATTTACTTTTCCAGCTTGATTGAGCGTATATGTTCAGACGGAGCATGATGTTTTTGTTTTGTTACTTCGTGACTGAATAAACTTGTTTATATAAGCTCTGTGATCTTTTAACATAGTTGAAATCTATCTGAAGATACCCACGAGTAGATCTTAGCATGAAATTACCTTTTATCTTATTCTTAGTCCATGGATCCGGTTGAAGCTGGACCTTGGTTGGTGGGGAGACCGCAACAGCTTATATTTCTAACGGGACTGGATCCCGCTAATAAAAAAAGTCACGCTGCTCTAGTAAATTGTTTTAGGTGAGGTAGTAGTCATAGAGACGTAATTCCGTATTTAGTTCCTCGAAAGATAAACCTCCCTTGAATCTTCGCTTAGTTTCTGGTGAATTAGAATTCCCTGCAAAACCCGACAAAGTTGTTACTAAAGGTTTCTTACATGGTCAAAGAATGAATTTGTCAAAAAGAAGCTTAAGGGGTTTTAAGGCGTGATTGGCCAACAAAGTATTTGGAAAGAGTTCCTGCACTCATTGTTCTGTTTCTTGATTTGGATTGGGATCATCCTTCTTGGGAAGGTTTGTATAAATTAGGAATAAATTAATAGAGAATCAACATTAAAGAGAAAAAAACTGAGGCTGAAAGCAAATGTGAAAGTATTAGGGCAAGTTGTCGAAAAGATTCGCAATTGGCTGTCGTATTGATCCAAGAAAGGTACGGAGAAGTGAAAATTTGGGGTTGTAAAACGATTTTATAAGGAATATCCTCAACGTAGAGGAACCTCTAGCTTGCGACAGGGCAACTGAGCTTTGTAATAAATGTAATCTCTCTCCGAAACATCTATTTGTCATTCCCATACTAGGCGATATTCAGGTCGGTTTCGCATACAGCTCTGGTTATGTAGATTGTTTTAACAGGGATATTCTTCAAAACTTCAAACAACATTTCATGAATTAGCACAAGGATACTACCAACAAAAACTTCGGGTATAGAAAGGAAAAGAATGGAAAGACAAAAATACTTTTTAAAGACAATTCGTGCAAGAGTCGTACCACCACACTTAAGCTTCAATGTTAGACAACTATTCAAACTCGCCTTTTTGTCCGAGCTTCGACAAGATACTCATACAGCTTTAAGGTACATGGTCCTGCTCTTTCTCCAGTGATGCTCTAGTTTAGAAATTACCGCCTTGCTTATGAGAAATGTAAAGATCAAGTTGAAAGCTGGGATGGTGTTGACATATTTGAATGGAGGAGTGTTGTAGGGCTTTTGAACTATAAGGTGATATCCAAAACTACTGAAAGTTAACGTACCTGTCCATTTATAGATGTGCGAGTTAAGTTTTTTGCATAATACTGCTGTTGAAGCAATTAGTCAAATGAGAAAACACCAAGCAACGTTTTTTGATATCAAACCCGGAAATTATCCTACGGCCCCTCTTGCGTCTATCGAGCATCAGTTATGGAAGGCGAAACAAGTGAGCAATACATGTTCTAAGCTTGAGGAAGTTGCGAAGTGACAACTATAACTTTTTCAGTGTTGGCATTTCGCTCAACTATTTGAAAGTGCAGTTCAGAATGGCTTAACAGCTGTAGCTACTTTGAATCCAGGAACACATCTTGACATGGCAGCTTCTATTTATTCTTTGGCCAACAAGGAAATAGCTATTTTGAAAGCAGGTAAATAGTAAATGATCATAGTTCTTTCATTAGTTGTTCGTTTCAGCACAACCGATTCCTGGACCCTATCCAACTCCTGATCCTTTAGCTAATGAAACTGTTTGCTTCAAATATAATTACAAGTTTGCATATCCGCTTTTTTAAGGTTTATTTTGGACAAAGACCATGGAGAGTCGGCCTTAGTGGAGTCGCTACAGCTGACATAGAATTAAATGCAGTAAAAGCTATTATAGTTAGTTTTTTCATCATTTTTTAGTTATTATCTCTTTTTTCCAAAAATAGCTGCGGTTGGTGGTGAATTATGAAGGTGTCATCTCTCTCTTGAATGCGGCTATGCATCAGTTCAAACGTTACGGATGCGCTCGAATGCAAAAGAAAGTTATGAATGAAGTGCGTTATCAGATAAAGGCAAATATTAAGGTTTCAAATTCGTTTCAGATGGCCGATGTGTACTACGCAAGTGGAGATTGCGCAAAAGCACTCCAGCTCTGGTCACTCATCGTCCGTGATCACATTCCTCCTACGGTTCGGTCTGTAATTCTGGTGAAAGCAGCTTGGGCTGCGTATTCAATCGCTTCATTCAAAGTTTTTTAAACAAAGGTCACGAAAGTTATTCATCAATCTTTGAAGGATTTCATTTGGGCAGCCCTCCAATTAGGAAAAACTGAAGGAAGTATTGTGAATTCTCTAGGATCCGTCTTGGCAGGTCAACTCCCTGCGTTACCTTTCAACAATGCTAACTTGACGGAGGATCAGGTATGTGTAGTTCTACTCATTATAGTACAAACTCAAATATAGGTGAACGCTTATAAAAATGCTTGGACCAAAACTTTATCTGAACCACAGTATTTCACTCTTCAAGTATCCCGAATTGAAATCCATCTGGATGTCAAGGTATTTCAGGAGTTTTTCCTTTTCTTCACAAATGTTTAGGTGTATTTCTTGTGCGATGCATCTGTTCCGCCAAAGTCGAAAGTTCCTGTCTACGTTGTACTATCTTCAGATTCTCTTTTCAAATTCGAGTTAGATTTTTTTTGTAATTAATGGAGGAAGTCAAATGCTTTAGTTTTTCTTCTGTAAAAATTGTGTTCGATGCCTCCGGCAAGAAGAAAACCGACGTATCACTGATGGCGCAAAGAAAAGTATCACTTGATCGAAAAGAATTAAACTTTCATCTTTCTCGTTTTTCTAGAATTTGGTGATCGAGCCGAAAAGTTCCGCTTCTTTTGTGCAAATTCTGGATCTCAGTAATTGTAATTTCACAGAAAATGACGTCATAATGGTGAGTCTTACATACCGACAAGCCTGTAAACTTCCTTTTAGGTTAATAATGTTACCTTCGAAATCGGTCAGAAGAACTCGAACATGTTCGGTCAATTAGAGATGGACGGTACTATCATGGCTCGACGCATGAAGACAAGTCCTACCCAATACGGAAATGCTTCTTTCACGTAAAATATACATTACTCAATCTGAATATATGTGAACATTTAGAATATCATCAGGAACAGGAGGACTAGTTCCAATGGGAAGCACATCAGTAGATTGTCTTGTAGGAGAAGTTGCAGAATGTATCTTGCAGCTTCAGAATACGACTTCTGGTACAGCCACAGACATAAAGTAAGAATATATTAGATGATTAAATGTTTATAAGTAATTTCAAGATTGGAATTCAAGCGAACCGAACAAAATTCAACTGCGTCAGCTGCTGTGTTGTTCATGGATTCAGCAAATGAGCTTCAATCTGATCAGACAATCCAATGTCAGCCAACATTGAATTCGAATGAAACGGTAGGTCCTTTGCACTTATGAAACTGGAAATGGAAACATTCAGATGAATGTTCCTTTACGGTTTTCCGCTCAGTTGGTGGGAGAAATGGAATTAACGATAGAGGTACTCTAAATTTAGAAAAAAAACAAAAAAGTGATTTCCTTTAGCTGTCTTACCTTCCGGAAAATGGGACGAACAGAATTACAAGCAAGATAAAAGTTTCCGTGAAAGCGAATGATCCTTTTTTCGCCACGAGTGGAATATTGACTATGAATGTGAGGAAGATTTGAATATTTGGCAATTTTCATCAAATTAAGGGCTTGCCTGTGACTTCGCTTCTGAACTATAGTGAACACTTGCTCAAAGTTGATGTAACTGCCAATGCTGATATAACTATCATGAACATCGAATGGCTTTTGGTATCGAAACGCTTAATTCGTTCAAATAATAATGTTATTTGTGTAGGCTGATGTAATTACAAGTATTACAACTAATGAAAATGAAAAACGACTGGAAGGTTGGAGAACGTCTTCAGTTCTTTCATCTTTTTAATTTTCAGAGAATCTGGCCCGTAATGATATGATCAACTATTGCCATGCCGTTATGGTCAATGTTAGCGGAGATGACAGAGAAGTACCTCTGGGTAGAATAGCAATAGAATGGAGAAGGTGAATATTCTGAAATTGGATGTGTGAAAGTTGAGAGATCTGATGAGCCAGAAAAAAATTCTGAATTTCATTGGAATGCAACCGTTCTATGAAAAATGCTGAAAAAATGAAATTCGAATTAACTGCGCTGACCAAATTTAAATATTGAAAACTGAAAATTGGGCAACTATAGTTAATGAATTCTTTAAAAAAATTCGAAACTTTCAAGAAATGATCAAATACGGGTAAAATTAATTGAAAATGGAACTCTTCTCTCTTTCAGACAGAATAGCTCCTTTTCCGTTCGTTCCGTGGTGGCGTTATGTAGATTACCTGTGTTGCCATGTCCTGTATATATCACTGCAAATGTCTTGGATTCTCCGGCAGTTGTTCATCAACCAATTCGGGTTCAATATACTATTGGAAATCGCATGGAAGAGGTTCATTCATTTCGATTACGGTAGCTCTTACTTACGATTTAGACTGTTGAATTAACAGCAACTTTCGACTTGTCTGATACATATATGTTTTGCGGAGACAAACGGGTAAACGAAAATCTCTTTTGAAACCTTACTGATTAACTCATTAGGTAACTTTCCGACTTTTGCCTGGTGCCACTCGTATTCTAAATGTTGTTGTAATGGCTCTCTCAGCTGATCGTTTGCCTTTCCCTAGAATAGCCTTACGGTAACTATTGTATTCACGGTATAACCTTCTCTCAATTTTCAGCTCAATTACTGTTCCCGATCAAACTCTTCAACATACACTCCGTACTCTTCCAGCAACGTTATTTGTATTGGTAAGTACAATGAAACAAAATGTAGACTTCTAGTTGTCATATAACCCGATGGTGTCGATCATTTCTTGTCAAAAATTGATCCTTGCTATCATGGGTTAAATCCAATTTCCTGTGGGATAACTATATCCTCTGGTCTATGGAATTCAATTTCGGTTGAGAACTCACATTTCAAAAGTGATAACGGATATTAATGAAATTGGAGAGAAACTTTTTTCTGAACACCTTCGATTCCTTCCGCTACCTGCGCTGCTAACTGAATCTCGATCCCACTAGAAAAGAAAACATATTAAGCCTGTCAAATATCTAAGATGCTCTTTTCAGCCATCATCCAAGCAAACCGCGGAAATCCAACAGTCGTAACCAAATGGAAGTTTTAACTTATTTATTTCCCACTCTCAGAAGTTGTGATATTAGAAGAATAAATATTATAAACGGGCTTATAATAAATATGTACAAGCATTGAAAACATTGTAAAACATTGACAGAACATACGTACTTCTTAGACGTTAGAGGAGATCCGGATTCATCAAACATTACTTTTACCTTAAACAATGCTGGCGTTCAAGCTTAACGTTGAAGAATTCCTTCCGGGTAGAAACAGTTCATATGTCGGTATAAATCCTCTTCGCCTACGTCAGCTGTAACATAATTGAAATTATGATGACATACCGTAATTTGCTGAAGAATCACTTTGACATCAACAATTATTTCATGGTATAATTAAACGTTAATTAGAAAATCAAAAAATTCCGTTTTTTTCTGATATCTCATTATTATAAATCTAAAAAAAGAAAAGCCACGCCCCGAATGGGCGGCCTCTGTAATAGTTAGCTCATCACGACTGTCCCTAGTTCTGGTATAAATACAGAAGTTTTCGAGCATTTGCACATCCACCTATCGGTACATCTGCCGTTACATCTAGATTCTCATCAGAAGCTCCAGAATGGTTATGCGCAAGACTATCCTCGCACTAATCGTTTTGCTCACCATCCAATGCCTGCCAGCCCAAGGATGTCAAAATTGTGAGGACGAACGTCTCAATGAGATTATGGTAAGTGTATTTATTTAATATAATATAAAATTCAACTCAAGACATAATATCCAAAAGAAAATCTTAAACCTCAGTCTAACAGTAGATCTTCTTCCCTATTAAGCTAATTGGTCTAATAAATTAAATCTCAACTTCTGCATTACCTAACTAAAACTTTCTAATTCAATTGGTAGTTTCATGGGATCGCTTCTTACCTTAACGGAAATCATTTTGGAGCCGACCACTCCCTCGTATACATTACAAGAATTGTAGGAAAAGAACTGAGATCAACAGGAAACGGAACAATAGCTAATTGCTCCGGTTTCAAAGTAGACACGCTCAAAGCTGTCGTCTCTCTGCACAATTTGGTCTGGAGCAATATTGTTTCTTCAATTTCTAGTCTTTTTTCCCTTATGAAGATATCAGAAACAACCAATTAATATTAGCCTGTGACGTAGGAGCCTTAATTGGGTTGCAACTTTAAGATTGTAGGAATATCAAAAGATCTTGAATAATAATCAGAATTAAAATATATTTTTAGGATACATTACGAAAACAAGTTCCTCGTCCCCACTATCATGGTCATAAGCACGGTGCTTCGGACGCATCTGCATTCGTCGAAGCTAACTCGGTACCTCAGGGTGTTAATACACATAATTGAATGAATTTTTATTTTAGGAATTGCTGACAGCATTTTCTGAGAATGACATTGACCAGGATGACCCAGTCACCAAAAAGCTCCTTGTAGCTTCTGATCCATACCGTGAGTTTTTTCTAATGATTTTATCAATAACCATGATCATTAGAAGAATCAACGATCTCTCACCCACTGGCTGCTTTCAATTTGAGCCCAGAAGTGTTCCCATATGATATCATTCAGGTACTAATGAAACATAACAAAAAAAAACAAAGCACGAACCTGATGAGCCCGCACGCCGCATCTAATCAAATCAATTATAATAATTTGCGCGCCAATTTAGTTCGTTGAAAATTTTGTTGAATTATGGCCCCACCACGATAATTTAAAGATGAGCATCATTATAGGCACGGCTCTTCGTTTACTTAAACCTCCAAGGGCATCTTATTGGATCGGAAAGATCAGTTGATATATCTGTATGGGAAATGACAAAGGATAACATAGTACGTAAATCTCTTGAAATAGATATCTGAATTCAAAAACACAAATCAACTAGCAAGTTACTGTAATAGAAAAATTGTTCCGATTCAGAAAAAGAAAGAATTGGCAAAGAAGAAAGTTAAAGTCAGCACTCCTACATACTTCATTGTTGACTTGGCTTCTGAAGACATTGAGAGGTTGTCAATTGGCAGACCTGTCGTTTAAAACAATCTATTTGATAGAATCAAAAGCAGAGGATCACCTGGAATTTTCGTACAAGCCTTAGTCGACGGCAAGAACATCGCCATTCATCCACAGGATGGAAAACAGGAACGAGTAAGAACATAAACATAAGTGAAACGCAAACGTGAATCATATACAGAATATGATGTTGGATCTTTCTGTTCGTGGAAACGACATCGTAAAGAATCGCCTTCGCAGAAGTACCGATCTCTGCGGTTACGGAAACAATAATGGAAGTTGTTGCCGTGAGGATTTAATGGTTTGATGCGCATCAATCCACCTCTAGAAGAGATTGTTCCAGATAAACTTCAAAGACATGGGTTGGGAGTTTGTTGTGGCTCCAGTGCAATTCAATGCTTACAAATGCACTGGTGGTTGCAGTGATTACAACTTCGACGTAAGATTAAAACCTGATACTTTTCCGATATAATGTTAATTCAGGAACACACTCGTCATGCCCATGGAGTTCTCACCCAAAGAGCCGACAAAAATCTTCTCTGCTGTCACCCTTCTGAGTATATAGCATCACCAACTCTACCTTTTAACACTTTTCTTGTTTTACAGATATAGTCCTCTCCGATTGGTTTACGTGAACAATGATAACACAATCACCGTCTCCAATCTACAGAACCTGGTGGTAACAAGATGCGTTTGCGGATGAATGGGAGGAAAGAAAGAAGTGGAGTACTCGCTTTCCTAAGTCTTTGACCGCTAACCGTAGATGAACGAATGCCATAGAAGTGGAAATGTATTAAGAATATCCACTATGATTTGTTCTTGAAAACCGTACTTAGATAGTTAAGACATATGGAATGCCAAATGAATTTTGTGATATGTTATTATTCGTAACTTGAACAACCAAAGATGAAGTTTCAATTCAGAGAAAACGTATGAGCGATTACGTAATATGATGTTAAGAGATTCTTGAAAAGAAGCCATATATGAAAGAAATGCGTATTCTAATTTGTGATTTTCAATCTTGTAGAAAATGTTTTTGGGGGGAGGGGGTCGTTGAAACCAATATTTTCAAACTAAGTTGGCGGGCTTTCTCTCGAGCGATTCCCACGTGCCGAAAACAAGTTCATTTTTGTGTCGTTGACTGTACGAGCGGTTGTATGCAGTGTTTTCTCACCTATACTTACAATATCTGACGAATTAATTTATACAATGGCGGTTATTACGAGGAACAAGTGTGCTTTGATTAGGAGATAATTTTAACTCGATTAAAATGACATTCCTAATTTGAGCATGTGCATATGAAACTAAAAAAAACTTCTTCGAGAAACATTGAACATTGCGAAGCTCTGCTTTATATATTATATGTAAGACATTATTCAAAAACTAACCATTAAAATAATTAAAAGCAGACAGTTATAAACTATAGTATAAAGATGACGATAAAGTGGGCGTAATAGAACAGTTACACCTAGAACTCAGTTTTCAATTTACACATTATGGCGCACCAAATCAAAAACCGGAAAATGTACTTCTTTAAGCAGCGTATGACCTACTATAATAGTAAAAAGAGCAACATTAGCTAAAGAAGGATCTGTTTCACAACGATAAAAAAGTGAGCGAGAAGACAGATGAACAAAATGGAAGAGAGCTGGATGTGTATGTAAAGTCGTGCTACGACAACAATAAATGATGATAAGGTTGAAATAATTTCAAAGAAATACAATGACCCTTCGATGAATCTGCTTTTGGTGAACAACAGATGAGAAGCGTTGCAGACGAAAAGCTTTTCAAAAATTAAAGACCGGGACCACTAATTGGTTTTTTTCTTTACTATATATTACTGTACAGTGTCTGATGAACAGCATAATACATAACTTCAAACCATTTGCAGCGAAGCCTCAGAATATCTTATTCTATCGACACTCCCAAACTTTACAAGTTGTGTCTACACTTCCAGTGATTACGTATGGAGCAGATGGATGGAAATCTGAAGACAAAATTAAAAACAAATCGCCAATCAAGCATCTCACCTATGGATGTCACGAAATGCTGATGAGCATCAATAGTCTTAGAGCATCTTCGAGCAGCTATTTCCCAGATCTGTTAACAACAACTTTAACGGTTTCAAAGTAAAGCTCACTCACCCTAAGTGTTTTATCATCAGCTACGGAGAGCAGATATTTTCCTTTCGGATGGAACTTCAATCCTCGTACCCAGTTATCATGTCCAATCAAATTGAAGAGAACCGTTCCCGACAAAGCGTCCCACACTTTGATAGTTTTGTCACGAGATCCACTGACAATTATATATGGTTGAGCTAAGGCATCAACTGATGGTTTTCCGTCTATAAAATTGATTGTTTTCTGTAGTGAATCATGATGAAATTTACTTTCGGATCGAATTGGTGCTAAGGCAGATTCGGGCGCCCATTCAACACACTCGACTACATTGTCGTGTTCACGTAAAGTCGCTTTCGCAGTTTTGCTTTGCAAAGCCCAGACTATCACGCTCTTAAGAAAAAAATATAACGAAATACAGAAGCCTCTCTAGAAACCTGATCGATACTAGCAGTTGCGAAATGCGTTCCATCAGGATGAATTCGAATCATCCTTACCCATTCTGTATGTCCACGGAAAGTATGAACACAATACCCAGTTTCAACCTGAAGTAGAATTAGTTGAGAACACACTAGGAACATGAAGAATCTTACCTCCCACATCTTAACAGTATGATCCCTACTTGCCGAAAGGATAAAATCACCCGAAGGAACAAAGCAAACAGATGAAATGTTGTGATCATGTCCCTTTATCAAATAATATTAGAAAAAATGAAGAAAACCCAACGATTTACCTTCATGGTTTTTAAAGCTCCATATGTTCCTCCGAACTCCCATATTTTGATCGATAGATCAGCTGAGCATGAAACTTAAAACACATAATGATCAAACATTTCTCTTTCTGAACACTGACCCAAAAGTTTCCCTGATTTGTCAAAAGCGATGTCTTGAACAGCATCAGTATGCCCCTTGAGTGATCGTTCGAAATCTCCTGATTCGTAATCCCAAATCTTAAGCACTCAATGGTTTTATGATTCTCGTTCATTACAAAACCTTTATGGTAGTGTCCTCACTACAACTAGCCATTACAGCCCAGAAAGGATGAAAGATAACCCTATTGACCGGCATTCTATGTCCTGAAAGGCTATATCTTTCTGGAGGACGAGGAATCCAATCTCCAGGCTGGCGCTTATCTCTGGAAATGATGAAAAGTTGCTGAAAACTAGAGTGTAAAGGAATACCTTGAGGGAGCTCCATGATTGATTTCTTTCTCGGTCTCAGATAACTTTGCTTCTAAATCGTTTACTTTCTTTTGAAGACGCAATACAGAAGTCCATTTCTTTTCAAGGATTCCATTCAGAACTTTATCATTCTCGCTCTTCAAAATTCAGATTTTATTTGAGATATACGTTTAAGCAGCTTACAAGGCCAGCTTCGTCCCGGAAGGTTTTCAGCGTTTCCAGATATCCATTTGTTTGAAGATAGTCAGAAACAGCTCTATTACTGAAAAGAAAAAACCTTAATTATAGTCTTAATTTTAATAATTTGCAGTTTCTTTTTGATTAAATGCCTCAGATGAATAGCAGAAACGTCATAGGCCCGAATACTCATCAAGCATGGGATGTAATTGTTTTTGCCTTTCTCGCCATCAATATGGCTGCATCGCATTGGCTCGAGGCCCTCATATAATGTAATTTAGCCGTATGAAACAGGGTCCTGGGAGGACATTCTTATTGATTTCGTTTGAAAAAAGAATTAGATGCTTTCTGTTAGGAATTAGCTTATATGGTAAAAGGTTTGCAAGTATGTTGAAGCTGAGCTGATTATCACAATAATTCCCTTTCTTTCCCGAGTAACATCAGCTTGGAACTTCTTGAGCTTAATAGATTAGGCTGAAGAATGGAACAAGGCAGGACAGCTTCAGATTCACACAATCAATGAGGAATAGACAAACAGAAAACGAAAAGAAGAATTCATTATTCGAACAGTAAGTGTTGCGAAAAATACACTTGAAATAGTGGTTCATACATAATCAAGCAAAAACATTGTATTTCACCTGAATCATGATATCAAACTTATGGATTGTGATAAGCACTATGAGTCGAAAAGGATTTCAAAACCATGTTAATTGGGTGAGAAGGGGATAAGTTTAAAAAAGGTCTTTGCAAATTTTCTGTTAATATTATGGAAATCAACTTACATTTCTTCTCGAACTTTTTCAGAAAGATTCATCTTCATAATACGAGCCACAAAGGGCAAATATATATAATAAACTTAAATAATACTCGAATAGATAATCGAGAAGTCGCTTTGCTACAGAAACAACCCGTATCGAAGCTAGCACCTTAAATCAACTAGATGGTGGCTCTTTTACTTTCTGGCTCTGGCGACGCAGCACGCGCTGCAAGTATACTGTATTTAGCAATGGGCCAAAGTTGAGACCAAGTTTAAAACAAAGAAATGAATCATAGAAGTTGTTTTCAAAACTATAAAAATAATATAAAATGTGAATAAACAAGTCAAGTTGGGCGTGTGAAGTGATAATGGACAATTTCCTGCAAGTTTGTGGGAAAAAATAGTTTTGTCGTCGATATATTCTTTGAAAACGAACTTTGCATGATTTCAGGACGCATGTAATCAAAAATGCCGTCAAAAAACTGATGTGAGCACAGAGATAAGTTGAATAATAAAGATCAAGCAGCAGAGATAGTCCTCTACCGACTCAACACTAGCTAAACAATCTCGAAGAGCAAAAGAGAATAGCGAATTAAAATTTCTGAAATTCTCGAAAATCACAAGACTCTCATAGCTATCTGTGAAGTGAAACTTTTCCGAACGAACAAATTACCTCAGGAGGCAATGTGGTCATTCATCATCATATGCTTTTCAGCTTTCTGTCTGAAGAAGCAAATCTTCGACAGGGACGTAATGTCATCTAGAATGAGAACAAACAATACATTTAGCTCTCAAATGATTTCCTTCAAAGGCAATCAATTTAATATTAGTCAGATCGTTTTTTTTTTCAGAATTTTATCATAAGAGACCACCGAACTGTTGGACAGCTCTGGTTGTCTGGTAAATAATTCAAATACATGGTTCTTCTACAGGAGAATTGCATAAGACCTCAGGTATTTGCGAAGATCGGCATGGAAAAAAATTAAACTTTGGTCTCTAAGTATCAAAGAAGAAAAGTTAAAAGCGCAGAAACATAAATTTCTATTTGTGGGATGAAAACCGCCGTAAAAACATACAGTTGAACCAAACCAATGTGTCACATGGAGAATTCTATTGAAAGTTGGGGAAATTTGGAGACAGAAGGCGTCTCATGCTCAGTCTCTTCCTAATCGAAATGTCTTCCCTCTCTTTTCTCTCGTTCCCGGCAGTTGAAGAAAACCATTCAAATTTGTCTCTTTGAACTTCCTTCTGCTGTCGGGTAGTACCGTATGCAACATCGCGATAAGACCATTTTCTTAGGCTTAGTCCATCGCGAAGTGATTATGCATCACTTGAGTGATAAAAACTCAAATTATATAACTCCTTTATTTTGACTGTATGTAACGCTTAGAAAGAAAAGAAAAGAAAACACCAATTTGGGAAAAAGAAAGTACAGGTTATGAAGGATGTTCTATACACAAGGAATGCCTACGAAGCTATAGAACTCATATACTTTTATATTTAAATATCCGGTAAATAATATAATAGTTATAGATTATATCTAGGCACAATGGTGATTCGTGTCTATGGAGGAAGAAAAGTATTTCGGAATCTCGTGAAAAAATATAAGATGTTCATTATTAATAAAATTATTAATTATTATGTTTGAGATGAACAACATAACAAACGCAAATGATAAATTACAAAAATGAAAACAACATTCTGTCAATAAACGATTGCTTCTACATTTAAATGACTTAGACATTTGATAAAGCATTACAGACGGGTAGTGGGTCTTAAAAATCTTGATGAACGTCTGAATGCCGGTCTCGGTTAACAAAAAAATGTGGGCATTTGATTAAGAACTTCATTAAGATCTCTAGACATAAAATTGTGAAGAACCAATTTTTAAAAAAAGCAATGAACACGAAGAGCCGTATAGAAGGAACACAAGATGCTGGAGAAGAATGGCTTTATTAGCCTTAATGGTCATGTTTCGACGAGCCGATTCCAATTTGGGAAAGGGGTGGGAGCAAGAATGAATGTCGCATGCTACTGCACGAAGGAATAAATTCATTTTTTGGTTTGTATGACTATTGAGAGAATATTTGAAAACTAGGACTTAGGAATATGTTTCGTTTTTACAATTTATTACAAAAATTATTTTCAAATTGGGGGTAACCGATAAACTCCATCTGAAAGTTTGGCCAGAGAACAGATCTGTCTATTCGAGGCGTTCAAGAAAGTTAGGCTCTTTGAAATAGTCAGGGATTTGATCGTCCATTCTATTAATTATCTGAAAAATGAGAGGTTGAGAAAAAAAAGTTATAAGAGATCCTCACTTTATAAATAGTCTTTTTCCATGAAGGCTCCGAATCCTTTCCTGTTCGGATGGCGTCAAAGAATTCTCTTAAGGATTCCTGCACCACAGAAACGAGTCGCTCAGGAGGCTGAAAATAAAAAAAATAATGAATGAGGAAGACTAAATAGAGAACAATGCAACCGCACACTACGCTAACAACTTTAAAAATGGTGAAAAAGACGTTCACGTGTATCTCCACGTGTATGAGACGTATGCACTTTTGAATTATGAGAATAACTACAAACCTGGATATGATTATTTCTATTGTAGTGTTGATTTAAAGTTTTGAAGATTTCAGAATCCATGGTAACGTGAATCTCGTCGCGGGAACGAACACCTTCAGCTAATGCTTGTCTAGCATATTTCTCCATTTGAATGTAATAAAATTCTCTGAAATATAATAGATTTAAAGTCCCTCTTGCAATGGTTTCATCTTGTATCTAACGGAATTTAGTTCTTCTATTATCTTTATTAGGAAAGGATGAGATTTTCTATTTGATTAGGAGGCTAGATGATACATACACCTGCTTGCGGTGATGACTTACTCCATGCCATTGCAGCTTGTTTCTCGAATCATTAAAGATAAAGAGTGAGAGAAATAGAGAGAAGAAGAGAAGACAAGAGACAAAGGTATGTAAACGTATTTGTATGAATTTGAAAGATTTTTGAAAAAAGATATGAATCTTCTCATGCTTACATAAACTGAGTTGATATACATACATGTATAGCTTATGAATATCATCTTTCAGACAATATACCCCTTTGAAGCTCCATATAGAGAGAAAGAGAGAAAACGATCAGTTGGAAAGACAGTCATCCCAACTACTCTTATATGTTTATTCGAAACATTTCTCCCAATAAACAGATGCGTTCGTTCGTGAATTTTCTTTCTTTTTCCCAATCATTTCTATTACGAAATACTAAAAAAGTTATTTCACATTTTCAGACCCCAGCCTACTCACATTTGAAATTTTGAGAGGATTGAAGAACGAAAGAACAAGTATATACCGTTATAACTCATGTAATAACCTGAGTTATATTGCCCCAAATAGACAATACTCGCTCAAAATCTGCAATCGGCTTAGGACTAGTTCTGATGACAGTGACGACGTTGTAGACGACGGCCAACTGAACAACTGATTCCGATTTCTGGTGACAATCAGCGTCGTCACTGCACGATTAACAGGAAAGGAAATTCTATACTATTGAGCGAATAATTGAAAAAGCGAAATGGTTCCCCGTGTCAATTTGACAACAACTTGAAGATCCAAGTTATTGTTCGAATAAGATCAAGACCTTGTGGGTCTCAAGTTCTTCTGAACGTTTCCTAATCCTTTTATATGAGATTGGTGTTGCGAGACAAAGTCGTTGCGCTGCTTTGACGATGTTAAATCCGTCGTCAGTACCCTACGTCTCCGGAAGAAAGATGATGATCGTCTTCGAAATTCGCTATATAATCATCTTCATTCTTTTTCATAAAACTTGAATTGGAGTGCTAAGCTTTGAATTTTCCGGAAACCTTTCTCTCTTTTTTTATATAAAAAATTTGTCTTCAGATTCCAAACATTGTCTATATTTGAACATCATGTCAGTTTTCTAATCAGATGTAGCACATCTCCAGAAGCTGTCAAGATGGAACTGAGACATCTCAAGAGAGCAAGCTGAGATTTACATGAAGCTTGTCTTACAGCTACTATTCTTGTGATTTGATGTTATTTGAATTGACTCGAGCTTTATGAGGGCATGCAAAGTTTTCCCGTTTGTTTACGTAGCAACAAAACTGTCAACAATTTTTGGTGAAAACAAAAACGTTAACGTACCTAAAGTTACTGAACCACTTGACCAGCTGGGCGGTGTTGTTCTTGTTGAATCGTATATCAGGGAAATATGATTTGAGCAAGGCTGAATTCGGGTATCGAGTGTAGAAAAACATGAGTTTGGCTTTTCGTAGATGCATGGGTGTGAGAGTTGAACTCTGATTTCCATCGTATGGACCACAGTCACTGTTATCATCAGAATTGGTTGGACTGTCTTCGCGATCACCAAAAGTTGCTCCTCCGTAGAGGGGATGGCCAACCATGGTAGGAGGGAAATAGCTCATAGGAGTAGATTGTGACATATTGAGCTGAAAGATATTATATTTAAACCTTGTTGTTACTAGTAAAATCATACCTGCGGACTACTACGTAAGCTACTTGGAGATTCAGCTCTCACTGGTGTACCGCCATTGACTTTACGAACGCTGTCCGTCACCTTCAATGATAACTAGGAATGAATGTATGAGCAAAGCAGATATTTGTAGCTTACCTTGGCTCTTTTACGGCGACTTGCACCTTCATCATCTAACATACCGGAACTGCTGTATGGTCGACGAAGCTGATTGAAAGCAGCAAGAGGATTGAATCCATTGAAATTAGGGAAGATGCCTGAAGCTCCTGAAATTGAGTCTCAGCATATATTCATGTTTTTTGTCTTTACCGGTAGCATTTAAACCAAAAAGAGGGTTTGGCTGAGCAAACGGTACGAACATATTATTGATTGGTTGACGATTGGCTACATCAGCAGCAGCATTACGAGCCATTTCGGCTGCCCAGTCTTTCACAATCTGGAACATCAAAAGTTATAAAAAGGATTTGCTATGCATTCTCACTTTATCAATAACGACTGAAAGGTTCTCGGAAATTTCATTTTTCAGAGCTTGAGCCAACTGGTTGAAATCACGAATTGGTGGTCGTTTTTCTTGCTTAATTTGTTGTTGCTGTTGCTCGATGAGATTGAACATTCTGGAATTTCAGAAATGAATTTTAATCCTTTAAAGTTTCAAACCTCTTCTGAGCATCCATCATATCACTCAAGATGGGAGTGTTTAGTTGAGATTGGAGTGCTGATAGCTTCTCCAAGGGATTCATCGAGTCTAAATCTTGACGATTTTCTGCTCGTTCACGCAATGGCATATCCTCAGGTGGAGGGGAATCAGCATGTTGACCTCCAACACTAACAGTGATCTCTTCTGGGGCTGAAAAGAACGAATAGATTAATGACTCATGACAAACAGTAGATTTACTTTCTTGTGTTCCAATATCAAATCCCAACGACTCGGCCAAATTACGTTGAGGAGCATTCTGTTTACGTTTTGATGATGAAGTAGAAGTTGTGGAAGACGATCCAGAGTGTGTACTGTCTGTTGTACTGACGGGAGAATCATGAGTTGGCTCTTCATCTTTTGTCAATTCCGAGTCGTCCTTCAAAAAAAAGAGATCAAAACCAATGAGGATATGAAAAACGAACCCTGTCATCTGTATTTTCGACATCCAACTGTAATTCCAATTCATCTGATGTATCAGCTATTTCGAGCATCTGTAAAAGATAAAAAGGAAATTTAAATAATAATATGGAGAAGATGATTTGAAGAGGATATCCTTTTCCGGATCAAGATGATTTAACTAGTTGGATTGACCTCTTTTGGATAAAGTTACAAGTGGATCGACATAACTTTATTCATAAATAGGATGAAATGTACTGTGCGGAAGATTATCCTTTGTATAATCAATCTTTTTCTCATCAATTCTTCTGAGGTAGCGAAAGGAAGAAGAAGATGAAGATGCTGAGAAAGCTCTTCCGAAATTGTAATCCTCATGACCCGCATTCGAATGAGGTTGCTTTCTCAGCTTGAGTAGAAGCTCACAATAGGAAAATGAAATTACCTGCTCATTGTTAGACGACAGGTCTGTGTTCGATTCTTCTTTTACATAGTCGACGTCTGTTTGGCTCATCCATGGAAACAATCCAGATAAAGATTCCGAAGAGGTCATTCCTGTTTTTGCTCCTTGGTAGCTGTTTCTCGGTTCACCAGCGTCGACCCGTTGACGTTGACGTTTGAGCTTCAGTCTGGAATGGAAAAGATGAAGCTGAAATATGTTGAAAGACAAAAAAAGAGAGCTGGAAAAAAGTTGGTTTCTGCGAAGACACGTGCACTGGTAGAAGAGTCGATAACTGATAGTGAAAAGAGAAATGAACAATAAGAAGAAACATTGGCTTGAGAGACGATTAAAGCAAGAAATACTGGAAACCCATACCTAATAAGGTAAGCCCTATAAATGCCATCAGAGAGAGAATAAGAGATTGAGAGAAAAGTAGAAATTGAGGAAGAGATAGAAGGCGATATCAAAAGAGAGAGAGAGAGAGAGAGAGAGAGAGAGTGAGAGAGAAAATCATGAGCCTAGAAGAGAAAGAGGGAGACTTTCGCACCTCTGCTGCTGTTGATGATGAAAAGCGAACTGCTGCTGTGGAAATAGATAGCTGAAGTGGCCGAAGGGCGATGATTGTGAGTTCGCAGCTACGGCTGCTGCTGCTGCAGCTACCGCTGAAGCCACAGACGTTGGCTGTGGCGAGGTGCTGGCGCCAGAAGACGCCAAGCATGAAGTAGTTGTAGGTAATGATGTAGGCGTAGAAGCAGTTGCCGTAGACATAATAAGACTGCTTGACATTAAGTTCTTCTTGTTTTAGTCAAAACACAATTTGAATAAAGCGAAGTAACTTGTGTCGCTTCCTTGTCTAATGGATGAGAATGCTTGTTTCAAATAATGCAGGAGTAAAGCACTTGCACAACCTCAGTGTCAGTTCCTGAAAAAGGACTCCAAAATGTTGTTGTTGATAGAAGGATGATTGAGAAGTATAAGATATAAACTGTATTATTTGAGAATTATAATATTTTAGCCGAAATGAACATGGAACGAACTATAATGAATAGAAAATTCAAAAACTGGAAGAGATTGTGCGTATTCAAGATGAGTGCGAATAGAGGAAGCCGGGTGGTCGATGACATTTGGTTAACAAAAATATTTTTAAGAAGAATAGGTAATGAATGCAATAAGACGTTAATTCAAAAAAATATATAGGATTTGGATCATTGGATCTATAGATAGATGAGACAGGAAGAGAGGTGGGCATAGGAGGATAGGAGCTTGATCCATATTCGAATGTCCTTCAGACCTATTCTTCAATCGCCTACTGTTATTAGCTTTTCTCTGAAGCCCTTGAACAAGCTTTTTCTCTTCTATAATTTGATATAAGTGAATACCAGAGATGAGGTGAATGGTCAAAGATAACAATAGCTGTCACAAAGAAATATTTTATTAAAAATCTCAAATAAATACAATGGCAAAGCCCCTACGTATAGTAGCTTGTTTGGACAATTGCGAAGCATGTAGTTTGAGAGTGATATTCCTTTTTTCTTGCTGACAGTTATTTTTCGGAAACGAAATTTCTTTGTATTCTCATGAGCTGAGTGATAGATAGATAGATTGAGAGAGAAAGAAAGATATAGGAAACAGGAGTTAGCTATGACACGATCATAATTTGGATTGTCGAAGAGCTTTTACAGAAGAATGAAAGAAAGAATAATGCTGAGGGCTCGAAGATTCAGATGAAGCTTGGACAACGAATTATCTGAGAAAAAAGATAATTAATCGTCATTTGTTTCATGAAGACATAAATGATTTGAGGCAGATCGTCAGAAAAGATTAAGAAATTAAAATAATATGACATATCTTAGGCAAGGCACAAGAAGTGAGGAGAATGAGATGCTGCGATTGGCGTGCGAAAAAGAAATCTTGCGAACGATGATGACCATGTCATAGAGGAATCTCGTGTGAGCAACACAACAGAGAAGAATAGATTCTGATCGTTTTTTGCTATCTTCTCTATATGTTTCACACTATTTTAATGTTCACGTCATGCATATTAAGCAATTTTTCGTGTCTCCTGATGACTCCCTGATTCTTATCGACTTCACTCCGGAAAAACCGGACTACAGCAGATAGCATAGGCTGTATGGAAAGCATAGAGAGATATGCTAATTAGGTGACAGATTACATGACAGACGATGAGAATAGGACTATAATAGTATAAGAAGAAAAGGAACTGAATCAAAACATTTCAAAAAAACGTATGAGAAAGTTGAGAAGACTGAGAGTCTGTTTCTTGATATTCAAATTAGTTTTCGTCAATAATTAAGAAATTATCGATCGATTACTTCATCTCACCTAGAAGATCATCTACCGGATGTAGAAAGCTCCATGGTGAAATGAAAATCAATCAATAAAAGTTTTTTGAGCTAAGTGTGAAGAACTAGATGGTTATAGATCTGTGAATGATGTAGAGAGAGAGCAGACAGACAGAGATTTGAAGGGAGGGACAGATTAGACGGAAACAATGTGTTTTCATGAAATAGTGGAAGAGGAGCATATAGTTTGGAGAATGAAGTATAGTTTTCAATGTTAAAATATACGGAAGAGGATAGAGCACACCTATGGAGCAGACACATACACGAGAAGTAAGGTTGAAGATGGTAGATTGACGTCATTCATCCCCATATTTGGGCTTAAAGGGGAAATAGAAGTATCATGTGTATGGAAAGAAATGTAACGAAAATTGTTTCAATTATAAAAAATAAATGAAAATAGCGAGTTAATGATGTGTTTTTATCGTTCGCAAAGTTTTTTTCGGTTCCAAAAAGAGAAAGAAAGAGAGAGAGAGAGAGGAAAGGAACTGAAAGAAGAGAGAGAGAGAGAAGGAGGGAGGGAGATTGTAAGAGAGAAATATAAAGAGAGAGAGAGAGAATAACTGAGGGAGTAAAAATTAAGAAAACAGCTCAAAGAGATATGAAAATTTGGTTGAAAGTTGATTAGCTGTGTTTGTGTCAAACTGTCTCCATTTATGGCAAAAAAACAAAGTCAATAAAAAAATGATGAAAAGCATATGCAGAAGCTTTCACTATGTAAGGAAACGATTCTTAATATATTCACTTGAAAATATATAAAAAAAAAATAATTTCATAGCGCATTTCAAGTATCTGCCTTTCAACCAAAGAAGGAAAAGGATTACTGTAGGTTTGGAGGGGGAGCCTTGTGCTGTTGCAGCTACTGGAGAGAATGAAAGAAAGGGAGATGAACGAGGAGTATCTGAGAGAATGGGAGGAGAGATAGAAAGAGAAAAAGAGAACAGAGACAAGTGGGCGGAGCTTCTTGAGAGAGAATGAGAGACTACGACGTCGACGACTGTCACCTCATCTCATCTGCAACCTCTTTTATTTCTTTTTTTCTCTCTCACTCTCTTAATGCTCCATATATGCGAGCTAACTGTCTTGTTCACATCATTATGTCTGCGTCTCGTTAAGTCTCAAACAATTTTTTTTTTCAAACATATTTGATGATGTGGCCCAAATATGGAGAAATAGCAAAGATTATGATGTGAAAACGAGTAAAAATTGAGATATAAAATGAATTGTTGTAATGATTCCCCTAAATGGTTATCCATATCTGAATCTTCTGTCATTCTCAAAAGGAGAGCTATGTGTTTTTGCCACAAAATACAGCTCGCTCGTTCTCTCTCTCTGTGACACACACACACAGGCCCGCCAGCAGGATCAAGATGTGCCCATGTTGAGGGCGTGAAGGTGTATGAAGCAACACACAGAGGTGGATGGGTGTGAGGTGCATGTTGTACCCAATCATAGAAGCTGACTTCCAAAAAAATAAAGAAGATGAGAAGAATTTGTTTTTTTATACTTTTGAGATAATTTTTTAAATTGAAAGAGTGGGAGATAGATAGAGAGAGACAATGAGACACAGAGTGATGGAGATGGAAAAGAAAATCTTCAAATTCATTTCCAGTTGTGCTGGAAAACATAGAAATCAAACTTTTGTAACCAAGGGAACTTGGTTCGACTTATTCTAAAATCTGAAGAGATTTATTAAATGGAGAGGAAATAGATAATCAGATGTGGAAAATTGCCTTGAGTATCTATCAGACGGAAATTGCTAAGGAATAAGCTGAGCTCAAATATAATCAAAAAGAATTTCTCCAAACAATTTTTTTTCTCTGAATGATATAATCAAAAGATTCATGATAGTTCTTTCCTTTTCAATCTTTCTCTCTCAACCCACTCTTCGCTCTTTCTCTCTCTATCGCTCATTTCTATTTCAGAAATACACCACATCTCATCTTCCTCCACAGTCACAAACTCATTATCATAAGAACATGGCGAAAAAGAGTTTGTATAATAAGTTTTGTGAATGTTTTGTTTAAATTTCAGAATCGTAAGTTAAAACGTTTTGTGAACAACTAAACAACAGCTTAAAGCATAATCAAGAAGGTTTGATGATGATGATGATGATGTGGAACAAGACAAGAGACGAGAGTACAGAGAGCAACATCTAATGGAAATTAAAGTTTTAAAAAAAGTTTTTTAGAATAGGCAGATGACTTGTGAGTCAGAGTGAATCATAAAAACGGAAGTCTACCGTTTTCTTTCGGTCAATCTGACTGAATCTTCTGAATCCCGTCACACAGAGATATGGGCGTGTCTAGAAGATGTGGGCGGGGCTTGTCAAGCTGAGGAATGAAACGAAACGAAAAGAGCCAATCACGAAGAAGATAGGTCTAAGATTGATCATATATGAGTATATAAGATCATTACTACCATATAGAGGTTTATACTTTGTCAAGTATGATACTATAACTGTAGAGAATAGTTTGGGGTTGGGAGAACACAACCGGAAGTCATGAATAATCAACAACACTCCTCCGTTGAACAGAGAGAAGGTAAGAATGAAGAACAGAAGATTCACATCTTCATCTTCTGCTCCTCCTTCATACTCCTAAGAAATTCTATAAGGAATAGCAGCTGTTCATTAACCTTCTGTAGCAAACTGGCATTAAAGCAGAATAAAGAAATTGGACAAAAATTCAAAGGATGTGCCGCTAGAGGTTTGTAGCCTAATTTGGAACATTATAAGCTTTATTCTAACAATTAATCTAAGGTAGAAATGCTCTTTTGATGCTTCCAATCTTTCTCATCTAGTAGAGAAGCAAATCATCTGAGCGTAAAGGGAGTAACCTTTCCAAAAAAGACATTTTGTGATGAAGCTCATCATCTCTGAACACTTAACAGGTTGTTCATAATGTCGGCTTAATAAAAATAATTAAAAACAACTTCTAAAATGAATTGAGTACTTTTAAAGAAATTAAAAAAGATGGGACAGAAAGTAAGGATTAAAATGTACACGAGTATAGAGAGAGAGAGAGGGACAGAATGAGGGAGACGGAGAGAGTGTCAGAGAGACAAAATGAGATAGGAGGAATTACAAAGACCGAAAAGGTTAGGTGAATGATGAGAAAAAGATCTACTTGAAGCTATTGAAAATCCCTCCCTGTCTTTCTGTCATCATCAAATAGTAGTTGAAGTATATAGAATACAGGTGTTCATACATTATTTATTCATTTCCTAAGAAGGAGAAGACGGTTTATCATATTTTGGGAATAAAAAAGGCTAGTTCGCTATAGAGGGAGGGCAATGCAGAGATATTGTTTGGTTGCGAAGGATAAGTTGAGAGAGAAAGAGAGCTGGATAGATAGAGGAACACGAATGAAATTTCAGAGATCGAAATCCTTCCTGTGCACACAGATA